AATCGGTGAATGGGATATACCGAACAAGAAAAATATGATTATACTATTTTGAGGTTCATTAAAAAAATATCGAATAATATTTAATGTATAAAGGCTAATTCAGACGCCTCTATTTGACATCTCAACCTAAGTTATTATATGAACAGTCCATTTCAGTTCATTACAAAAAGTTGAACATAGACCGAGACACTTATCTGGGTTTTAATTCTGCCAAAAAAATTATCAACATGAGATGGGAAAAAGAATTGAAATTATCTGAGAGAGCCATTAACCATATCTTGAATCCATGTTTTATGTTGGAATAATTCTTGCTAAACTTGTTTTTTTTTGCATATATTTGGTAGGAATATACAGGGCTACCCAAAGAGCATGAGAATTTAGAGACGATTGTACGGAATTCATACTATATCCTTTACAATGAACAATTACCATGTAACCAAACTCTATTGCATACTATTAACATTAAAAATGTCTGATTTGTTATAAATCTCATAATTTTTATGCAAAAAAATAAATACCAGCTAAAGACTAAATATGGATTGAAAGGAGAAGACCCTCTGAAGTGAGAACTTATGTGCAGAGTATCGTTAATCTTAAATACCTGATTTTGATATCCGATGTAAAAAGCAAAAAAAGTAAAAAAAATGATCTATTTATGAAATATAACGAAAACATACAAAATAAAGTGTTTCCGGAGAAAATATAGAAATAAAAGGAAAAGTTAAGGATAAGGAGTTACATATTTATTGTTTACACTATATTTAAATTAGTGGTGGATTGTTAGTATTTTTCGACGATGATCTAACAACTTTTAGAAATAAAAATTATATATTTATTTGTAATGTTAAAAAAAGTAAAAAAAAAGTTTTATGGAGTGTGAAAAAATATAGGTTCCATGAAAAACGGGCATTTTTAAGCATCTTTTTAATTCGCGCTGATTTTTGACATCCTTTATGTTTGTGAGCACTTTTAATTTTAGGATCAATGTTTGATCTATTAATTTCAGTTATACCTGTAGGATACAATTACCTTGGGATATCGAATTAAGAGGATTTAGATTAATCCGTAAATCTTCAAAAGATTTAGACCAATATTTGATTCTGAGATTCACAACGCGATAGTTAAGAACATCTAGATTTCCGTTGGAATCATTTTTTTACCTGCAGAGTTCTAGTCACATTGTTGTATAATAACTTCAACACTTATTTTTCCAGGGTGTTTTTATAAACCAGCCGTTGAACCCATGTACAGTGATCTAAAGGTTGAGAGCTCTCATGCACAAATCAATGGGAATTTTGCTGATTACTTCTTAAAACCGAAAGCTAAAATTACTTCTTATAAATCAAAATGTCAGAGCTACAAAAAATAGTCTAAGTGTGTTAGGTAAATTCAAAGCCGATTCAGTCTTTTAGACATTACAACTTTAAACTTTAAATTTCCAAACTAATACTGAAAACACCATTTGAGATGTAACATATTTAAAAATTACGAATATAATAAAACATAATAAAAGGTTTTCACTTAAACAATTAAAATTTTAAGAGATTAAAAACGTAAATTGGTTCAGAGTTGAAATTTATGCAGATATAACCATAAAAATTTGTCAAAACTTTAAAAATCATTCAAATTTGCTACACACATGATTTGTTTTGAAAATTATAAAAAATATGTTTTGAGAATAATTAAATAATGTATTTCGGTCAAACTAAATCATTTTTATCAAAGAAATATGTAATTTTACAACCGTCGCTACATTGAATAAACATAAAAATTAAATACGATAATACGAGGTTTAATTCTTTGTTCCATGGTAGATTGGAAGTTATTCAAAGATAATCGTAGTGTGTCTATACTGATTACTTCCAACAAACTCTATAGTTTTCTAAACCATATATCTATGAAACCTGTTGGTGTAGATCTTAGTTTTCAACATATATATGTATATATATAAAGTTTTAATCTCTGTTTGTCCGATTATAACTAAGGAACCCCTGGACCGATTTGCCTCATATTTTGATTGGGTCACGGGAGAGTCTTAGTTTAGTTTTAAGATTCTAAGTTGAGTAGGTTCACTTTAATAGTGAAAATTTTGTTTTCCGGTAAAATCGTTAAAGTGCGGGTACGCAGTTGGAGTAACTTCTATCATCCTGAGCAGCTCTGGGTTCCCAAGCTAGCTTAATAATAATACAATAATTCGTCTAACAATTCAAAAAAAATTGCTATTGTTACAAGGTTTCCAAAATTCAATCCAAGACGATGAGATTTCAAAGATTTCGTCTTTTAGATAAGTTAAAATTTCCATGGTTTGCTTAAATTGCAATCTAAATTTGTTGTGGTTCACATAATTTATATTTATAAACCGGAATTCAAACCAAATATACGTGGCAAAATCTATGATTTGGTTTGGTTTATCTGGAACTTGTTATTTCAATCTTTATATTGAATACTGTATTTAACAAGGAAAGTGTTTAACTTGAAAGTTAGTACAAGTTTAGAAGATAGTTACCAAATGAATCAACTATTGAAACTCCAGTTTATACAGAGTTAACTTGGATAATTTTCTTTTCAAATTCTCAATCAAAAATAACATTTTAAGAAATTTACTTTTATATCATAGATACAGATTACAAAACTTAAAATAATGAGAAATACTGTATTCATCAATATTATTTTGTAAGTATGGTTTCCATATTCTAGAACATTTTCTTCAAAACTTTGACACCTTGGATCACATAAAAGTAGACATTTTATATTCTTACAAGCTTGAGGACCCAGCGTTGTCCAGGGCATTCATAGTTACTCCCGCCGATTACCCGCGTTTGGTCGTAAATTACGACATGCTCAACTTAGAATCTCAAAACCTGGCTAAGAACATGTGAGATAAATCGGTCACAGGGTTCATGAGTTATGATCAGACTTACAGAGATTACTACTTTATATATATATATATGTAGATATATTTTTTTGGATACTCCATTTATTTATCAAAAATCCGCCAAATTTTATCCAGGACTTTTATTGCTCAAGAATAAATATTGGAGTTTCCAAGATAAAGTTGAATAATTTGATTTAAAAGAATTAGAATAAGATATATTTTCACTTTTTTTTGTTAATGCGAACATTTTTATAACCCTCATATATTGTTCGTAAACATTCCCTTTAAGATAGATAATAAAAACCTCCTTAAGAGAAATTAAGATAAATTGTATTGAAACAATCTAAAATTTTGGATTCATGTATCGATTCAACCCTACTCAGAGGTACTGTACTCCGTTGAGTAAGGAGGGGGGGGGGTGGTCGGGTGTGTCTGAGTAGTGGGGTTTTCAAGGGGGTGGGGGAATGTCTGAGAGAATGCCGGGGGGAATATAATAAAACGATGAGGGAAAGATGAAAGGCGGTATAAACCAGGTTTAAGGGTCAGAGAAAGATTAGTTGAATTAAATACGAACATGAAGGAAAACTAGCTCCATGTGAATTAGAGATGCAAAGAGATTTTAAATTAAAAAGCATCTCGGATTTTTGTTTAATGATATAAAATATCCTGGGAATGAGTTGTTCATATTTTATATTTTTATTCAACACCAAGCACGACATAATACAAATAAAAAATCTCAGTTTACTTTGTAGTTTGAACCCGCCTAACCAGAGTTAGTTGTTTTGATTGGTTGGCCCATTATAAGCGAATAAGAAATATAAATAAATAGATGGTGTACACTGTACAGTGTACATTTTAAACAAAACAATGATGATAAATCAGAAATAAGGTAAGAAAGGGGTGAAAAAATATAAGGGAAAGGGTGGGTATACTCAGCGGAAGGGTTGTAACATAAGGCAGCATATATCATTAGAATCATGTTTATGAATTACAGGGTGAGATAGCAAAGACTAAGTTTATCACATGAAAAACGGTTTTTTACAGATATAGCTTGCATAACTATGTAAATAGTTTTTGAAGATTTTTTTTATTTAGTTTTGCAGATTTAGTCTCTTTAAACTCTAATTCAATCGAATTCCATGATTTTGGAAATAAAGCGGAGGGAAAACATTCTAGAGTTTTAAAAGAACCCGTTCAAGTTTAAGATTTTGTTCTATTTGGTTCAGCTAAAGAATTAAACATATCCTGGAAGGAAGCTGGAAGGTTTTCATAAAAGTATTTATGCATAAAAGATATAACACCTAGTTTATGTGTATCATCAAGATTTAGAAGTTCTAATCTGAAGAATATTGGATCTGAATGTGTTTTTAATGAACTATTATTTACTGCTCTAATTGCCCTTTTTTTCAAAGATTTTATTTCCTGTAGTTGTTGCTGTTGTCAAGTGAGAACTAGAAAACTATAATTATTCTTTTGTTCTTTCTTAGCTTTACTTCAGAATTTTAGAAATTGGCAATTGTTGAAGCTTTATCTAAAAAAGTTCGGCACAATTTTAGAAAATACAAACTTCATGTTTTAAGGGAATGTAAGCATAATTTCAAGTGACCCTCCATGTAGAGACGGCGAGGCCCGATTTATGAACCCTTCAAATATTTGTCTGGTCAAGTAGTTTCTTAAGCTGACTGCTGGTTCTCCTGTTGTTATAATAAAAACTCACTCATTTGTTGTATTGTCATCCTTCTATTCTGGTTCTCACGGTAAAATTATTAATCAAAATGGAGCACAACATTTTGTAGGGATATTACTTTTTGTGGCCTGTGGGTAAAAAGTATCAGAAAACGAAAAAAGAGTCCCATTTATTCATTTAAAGAACATCTTCAGTTCCCTTTAAACAAATAATTATTGCCGACAAGTTCTCCTGTTAATTAACAATGTAGAAGGATTTAATTACAAAAAAGTCGGATTTAAACTAAAACTTTTAATTCTTTGGTTAGATAAAATGGCGGGAATTTTGTTTCTGAATGAGATAAATTAGTCTTTCAGCGTCTTTTTCGTTCCCAATGCTAACCAAACAATAAACATGGCATATATACATACGATATAAATCGTATCATTTAAGAAAATATTGACGAGTTGTTAGTTCGATTTATTGAACAACATTCAAAAACATATTTAACAAAGAAGGTTAAAGCTGTAAGGTAGGAAAAGAGAGATGTTTGTTCCATTTTAAGATTTTAACTTATTCACTAAATACACAAAGCGATTTGGTGGCGAGTGTATGCTTTAAAATTTCAAAATAAAAACCTAAATCCCTTGTCCTAACTGGAAAAATCTATGGTTTAAATTGATAAAGTATTAATTTCTTTAATAAGATCATTATGATGGAAGAAAGCTGGTTCATAAGTGAACTTCCTCAGCAGCTCAAGTTTAGAAGGAGAAGGTCGACTGTAGTAGATCTCAACCTCATCAGCCAAACATTTAGCTTCAGCTATACTCTAAACATAAACATTTAGTTTCAGTTATACTCTAAACATGAACATTTAGTTTCAGTTATACTCTAAACATAAACATTTAGTTTCAGCAATACTCTAAACATAAACATTTAGCTTCAGCTATACTCTAAACATGAACATTTAGTTTCAGTTATACTCTAAACACATCAGACTAGAATAGACCTATGCTGGGGCAGGAAAATCTATTTCTAACTCTGCTATAAGATCCAGATGATTAAACTCCTGTCTTGAATGTGTAAATCTAAACCAAGGAGATATCTAACTCTATCCATATATTTATTAAAAAAAATTCTATTTTTTCCCCATTTTATCATAAAATTTGTTTTCCAGGGGTGTATATTTTCAAATAGCAGAAAATTTTCGGACATGATGAAAGAAGAGCCTTGTAGGGGGGGGGGGAGTATTGTTGATTAAATCTTATTCCCTCCCCCCCTCCCCCTTGATAGAAAAATAGTGGGATAAATCTGGAAACAAGTAAACATCTCCTTTCCTAATGAGATGATTGAGTTTCTTATTTGCCCCGCCCACTCCATCAACTAGTGCTCCGCCCCCGTAGTATTGAAGGGTCTGCACTGCTAGCAGCCGAGCCTCCCCCTCCCCCTAAATATCGGAATAAAATGATTTTTATTTTTAACATCCTGTACTCCAAAAAATATTCCCTCAATCCAAAAGTTAGAAAAGATTGCTCGGAGAAAAATTTCTTAGGGAAAATTAGGGAAAATAAATGATTTAAAGGGGAAAAGTCTGTTTGGGGTAATAAATAAGACATTTCTAAGCACTGAGTTTAAGGGGGTAAGAAAAAAAATTATTTTAGAATGAATTAATGACAGGGATAAATTGGGCACTGGGTGGAAAATAAAATATACACCCCTGTCGAGAAATTACAATCGATCTGAATCATTATAGATGAAGTTGGACAATAGAAAATAAAATTAGAGAAAGTATAAGCAGAACAATGTAAAACACAAAACAAAGATAAACAATAAAAAATATGAAAAAAACTATTAACAAACTATAAGAATGTTTCACATTTTCTTACAGTTTGTTAATAGTTTTTTTCTTCTTCATATTTTTGAAAAATGTGAAAAATAGATACTTATAGGCAGTATAAAGATCAACATTCCAGAAAAAAAAATATTTCAACAATGTTCAACTTTCAAGAATTGTAGGATTTTAACAAACTGTTTGTAAAAGATGTCAAAAATAAAATCACGTTTAGGAATTAATTAATGATTTCTGCTACTTTTAAAGGTACAATTCTGATCTGAGAATTGTGAAAAAAATTAAAATTTTCAAATACATAAAATCTACAGAGAGAAAAGATCAAGAATAAAAATAAGATTTGTAATAATAAACTTAAATGATGGAGTAGATGGACAAACTTCACTAGACATACAAAATATTGTCTTTCAAAAGTTTGTTGCATCGCCAGCAGAAAGCTAGGTTTAGGTAAAATGAAAATGAATGGCTGACAAGAAAAACTCGTGAATAAATATAGGGGTCAGCATATATACCAATACAAAATACTGATATAATACAGAGGCTGATATATATTCCCATAAAGTATACGGTACTGAAATGCTAGATATAATACATAGGCTGATATATATTTCAATAAAGTATACAGTACTGAAATGCTAGATATAATACAGAGGCTGATATATATTTTAATACAGTATACAGTACTGAAATGATGATATAATACAGAGGCTGATATATATTTTAATACAGTATACGGTAATGAAATGGCTAGAGTAAATAGTTGTATTATATTATCTTTTCAGTAACCGACACTGTATTGATATATATTCTGACCACTGTATGCGCTTACCAGGGCGTCCTTGTCATACTCCCCAGCCATAAGGACGATACCCTTGCTGTCCATCAGCTCCGTGTAGTGGACCAGGCTCAAACATTCAGGAGCATTCTCATGATGGGCCTGAATATTGGTTTATAATAATAGGAAGCTGGACAAGGTTTTCTTGGGTTTACATATATCTAGACTTTTTTTTGTGTTTCCTGAATGTTTTCCACTGATATAAGTGTACCAATATTTTTAGACAATTTCAGATTAAAATCCTAAGTGTGCAAGCGTACACGGTAAAATCTATGAGAATTTTGCCAAATTATCCTTATATAATAAAGCTAAAAACTTGAGCTTTTTGGTTCTAAAATGTAAATGTCTAGAGCTACAAAAAACGCATAAGTTAAAAAGTATTTTAAAAAATGAAAATTGGACCGTCCTTTACCATGACATATACAATTCAAAAGATTTAAGGAACCAGCAGACAAAGCACAAATATTTATAGACATAAGATTAAAAAAAGATCTTATTTATATTTGTATTTAAAAGTTTTTACCTGGAAATTAATTAGTGTAGTGAAGTGAGCCTCGTTTCCCTAAACATTCACTATAATTAAATTAGTGGAAGAGTTTTTAATATTTTAATATTTACCTACATACAAATACATTTCATTTTAGGCAGTTGCCCAAGAGTTCTGTGCGCTTGCCGTGTGATGAATTACAAGAGAGAAATTATTATATATTCTAGGGTTAGGTTAGGGCTAGACACTTTCTGGGCCGAGCGCTGCGGCTAGGACAGGTTAGGGGGCCGAGCACCGCGGCTGGGACATGCTAGGGGGCCAAGCGCCGCGGCTAGAACAGGGTCTCTATCTGTCTTGTAATTCAAGCCGGCATTCACACATAACTTCCTTGGGCTTTTGCCTAAATTTTAGTTTTGTGTGGGTGTCTCAAAAAACATTACAAATACATTTAATTTTAATTTTCCCATAAATTCATTGGTGGCGGGTTTTTTTTTGAATTAATAATTAATAATCGAATACATTTAATTTTAGTTTTGGGTCGGTGTCCCAAAATTCATTATACATTTAAGTGACGGAAACAAGATTGCAAGACTACAACACCAGAAACACCCGGAATCAGACGACTTTACATATATATATCTCTGGTAATTTTAATCGCAGAATAAAGGCAGACCACATTTTGGAATTAACAGGACTAGGGCTTTTTTGTTATTATCGTTTCATTAATCATATTTGTAAAATTAAACTGTAAAGTCATCTGATCTGATAAATTGTAAATTGATTCCGGGTCTTTCTGAGTATGACTGTAGAAAATAATGGAAAATTTTCGTTTTGATAATATCATAATATAAATAGGGAAAAAGTTCTTAATATCTTTAAATATTATAAGGCACAATAAAAACCAGGCATAAGAATAATCAAGTTTACAAATAATTGCTGCATGGATAAAAGACGACTAACGCTAGAGTTGTAAAAATTTAATTAAATAGTGAATGCAATCCTTAAAAAAAATAAAGTACGTATATTCAGTAAAAAAATATTGCTACAAAAATGCCTTCTTATTAAATAATTTAAGATAATTCATAAAATCTACATTTTGATTATTGATGCATGACAGTCAGAATAGCTAGTAATTTATTTCAACATTAACGAGAAAGCTTTAAAACAAGAAAACAAATAGCTCATGTCTAATTTCTTAAGCTTAACTTGTTGCCCTTGGTTGCAATGTTAACCCACACTTGTATTTAGCAGTAAAGTTTTATAAATCTAGTTTAAAGAGACTGTAAGCGTAATTCTAAGTGATCCTCTAAGCATTTGCAATGACCGATTCACAATGGAACAATTAAAACCTTTTTGATTATATGTAGTCGTTATTCTCGCTTTCTTAGATTTAAAGTATCTTTTTATTATTAAGTTTTCAAAATTAAAAACATGATTTTAAAAGTCGGTGATGGTGATGGACCAAACCTCTGTAGAGTAAAAAAGTAGACGTTAGTTCCACATTTATTGAAAATATATTTCGGTCTGGGTTGACCCTCGTCAGTTCTTGAGATTGTTTCTGTCACAAAGGATAAAAATAAACATGATAACTAATTCAAGCTTTATCAGACAAAGCTTTTAAGGGTTCCGATGTGAATTGGGCATTGCCATCTTTACTTGGAGGGTCATTACAGTCTCTTTTATGTGAGCTTTTCCTAATTTTGTAATAAAAATGTGCTTCATTAATTGAATTACTTGAAATCCAGAAACAAAAAGCCCAATGCAAATCTAATCCCATGAAACTACAAATAAACTCTCAGAAACTAACAAGATGATAACAAGTAAATTAGCAGAATTACGTTTACACAGGAGTTTTAATGTTTACCTTTGATTTTGACAAAAACTAGAGCCATTAAAATATAACTAATGAAGTTATGTTACTTTGAAAATATTAGATCTAACATAAATCTCATTTTTTAGCACTCTAAAAACATAAGTGTGTCTAAAAAACAGTTTTATGAAAGTTGGTTCGACTTATGAGCTGTCTAAATTTTTAGTTAAAGAACATTTTCCCCTCATTTAAGCTTGGGTTTAAGACTCAAGAAACACAGTAGGGACCCAATTGGAAGAGGTAGCTGAACGATCTACCGCCGTTCCGGTTCAAATCTTGAATTACCGATTCAAATCCTCATACATATTTAACTTTTACTTGATGATTCAAAATTGAACCGGCACTAGGAAGTTCAACAACCTAGCTCAGATTAATTAAACGCGGTTCTAGAGTTTATAATTAAAGTAAAATATTTTCAAGGCAATGAATATGAAGGAAAATGAATAAAGAAGTCTACCACAATAAAGTTGGGAACTTCCAAATACGACGAGTTTCAATAGTTTTAATTTTAATAAAACAGAATTTGAAAATGACACAACCACAAATCGAGCCAATAAAATACTGCTGGTAATGCTTTTTTGTAAAAATCTTAAAATCATAAGTTTATTTTGAGACACCCGCAAACCCCGTGCAGTCCCGCAGGTCCAGTTTAAAGGTTTTCTATTTTACTTATATATCTCTGCACTGAAGTGCACGTCTCAGTGTATAATTTGTTCTTCTAACTTTTTATCTAGAGAAAAATGCATTTCCTGCCTGTCTCCTCTTTAGCAGAGTAATATAGAGAGGACATTCAGTATTATTGGTGCATTGAGTCGTCTAAAGGGACTGTTTACGTAGTTTAAAGTGACTCTAATTAAGTAATAAATTGCACAATTCACACCGATAGTCTAGTATAGTATAAACATACACTATACAGGAAATAAAATTAGCCTCATCCTTAATCATCTTTTAACAGAAAGCAGTAATCTCTGTTTGTTTGTCAGAATCATACCTCATGAACCCCCCCTGGACCGATTTGCCACAAATTTCGATTGGGGAACTTCGTACAGTAAATGGAATGAAGCTTGGTTTTAAAATTCTAAGTGAAAGGGGTCAAAAACTCTAGGCAAGGCTTAGTACCGTAGCTAATATAATATATGCAGTAGCAATCTCAGTTTGTTTGTATGTGTGACAATAACTCATGAACCCATGGACAGCTTTGCATTTAATTTTGAATAGGACACTCTGTAGTAGCACGCTAATGTTCTTAGCTTACTTAACAATTTTAACTTGAATGAGTAGAATATTATAGTGAAACCTCCAAACAAAGCCGAGTTCCCAAGCTAGTAGTAATCTTTGTTTGTCTGTTAGTTTGTATGTCTGACAATAACTGATGAACCCATTGACCGCTTTCCTCAAATTTTGACTGAGAAAATCTTCAGGGGGTTGACATATATATAATAAGTTTAGTTTCCAGGCAAATGTGGGTTCCCAAGCTAATATAAGAATAAAATCAATAGTTTTATAGAAACATAATTAGGCTAACTAATAATTAACAACAGTTTATTTACATGCCTCACAATAGCTCAAGTAAACTTCCTGCAATAAATTACCTGGAATTGAACCATAACAAACTCGTATCCGTTCTGACGAGGTAGAGGGAACAGGAACTAAACAATATTCAACAATTAGGGTTTTTTTCTTCTTCAAATTTCAAAATGATCAGAATATTGTGAAGTAAATAGTCTGCTTATTGAATATTGGCAGACTTTCCCTTAGATCCATCTAGCAAACACCACATAAACCACAATTATTTGTTAATGCACATTTCCTTTAGATCCATGTAGCAAACACCACATAAACCCCAATTATTTGTTAATGCACATTTCCTTTAGATCCATGTAGCAAACACCACATAAACCCCAATTATTTGTTAAAGCACATTTCCTATAGATCCATGTAGCAAACACCACATAAATTCCAATTACTTGTTAATGCACATTTCCCTTGGCATACGACAATAAATTTTTAAGCGCACTCTCCCTTTATTTCATTGGCACAGATCCCAAAGATTATTATGAAGGTATCACCCTTTAAGCTTTTTGTTTTCTAGTAGACATGCTCTAACTTTTTTGTGGCACACATTCGCTTTGAACCATTTTTTTTAGTGAAATACATTCTCTTAAAACCCTCTGTTTTGTGACCGACATTCCCTTTAAACCCTGTTTTGTGACCGACATTCTCTTTAAACCATTTGGTTTGTGGCGCACATAACCTCTAAACCATCTGTTTTCTAGAAGACATGCTCTAAACCATTTATTTTGTGGCACACATCCCCTTTAAACCAACTGTTTTGTGACACACATCATCTTTAAACCATCTGTTTTGTGGCATACAACCCATTTAAGCTATCTGTTTTGTGACACACATCCCCTTTAAACCATCTGTTTTGTGACACACATCTTCTTTAAACCATCTGTTTTGTGACAAATATCCTCTTTAAACCATTCGTTTAATGGTATACACCCCTTTAAGCTATCAATTTTGTGACACACATCCCCTTTAAACCATTTATTTTGTCACACACATCTTCTTTAAACCATCGGTTTTGTGACATACAACCCCTTTAAGCTATCTATTTTGTGACATACATTCCCTTTAAACCATCTGTTTGGTCCCATGTCTACATTAACTAAGGATTCTCTATCTAGAAAAGAATAAATGACAGATTAGAAATCTTTGCTTTGAATCCATTAATGGAAGTGTAACAAAGCATTATATCCAACTAATGCTGCTTTTGTTGGAAGAATAGAACACCATGAACATTGAATACAATATATCATTCAAGAATATACAAGCCATGCAATTTACGTAAAAACTACTAGATCTTATTAACTTTAACTTAATTTAGATCTTGAAAGAATTAGTTAAAAGTCGAATGTTATTTATTAATATTTAATAATTAACAAATAATCGATGTATTGAGAAAACATCAACTTAACTGATCCAAAAAGTGTAACTTATTGAGGTGTAACTAAATAGACAAATTTTTGTGACTATTTTCCATTCTTAGAGGTTTTAACAGATACAAAATTTCATAACTTTAAACATATACGATTTTAATCAGCTGTTATAATAAATCAGCTACAGAAAAAGAAGGCAAAATCATAATTTTTTGTTCCGAGTGTACCTCCTTTTTAAAAGTTTTTTTTTTGCAAAGTGTAGAACTGGAAACATGAAAAGGTTTATCTACAATCTCTGCAATGCATATTGCGAAAAACACAACTATTTGCTTACCGTGCCAAATTCTTTGAATCGTTTTTGCATAATTTTATAGGTATCTGCGGGGATAACTGCACAGATAGAATCCTAGAAACAATACAACATTACAGCTTTTATTCTAAAAAATTTTCTAGTTAAAATGAGTTTTCGTGCAAAATAAATTCGTATAAAGTTTTTTTAAATCGAATAATCGATCGCTACCATTTTTTTCTGTTAAAGGGGAAATTGAAAAAACCCGTCTTTCAGAGTATTTGACAATCTTGAGTGATTGTAAATTAATCTTAAAGAGACTGTAAAGGAAAACCCTTTCTTAAACCTTCTTCCCCACTCTACTTTTTCAACCTTATACATCTCAACATACTAATGTTACCGACAGGACCATTAGGTATCTGAGAGTGTACAGAAGGGTATATGGCAGACCGCCATAGGCTTGTCTCCCACCTCTGAATTTACACTCAGCTTTTCACTGGGTCAATACATTGGAACTTAAACGGAAGGGAGCTCAAGCCTATAATTATAGATTGAAGGATTGACAGTTATTATTATAATTATCATTCTTACCCCCCCTCCACCCTCCTCTTCTCAGTTTTCCACCTCCTCTCCCTTCCAATCCCATCCTTAAAATGTTAAATTCGTCTCTCAGCAGTCTTATTTCACACCCCCCCTTTTATATCTTCTTCTCAACCTTGCCACTAGCTCTCCCACCTTCCCAAGTCTTGAGTCCATAAAAATCTCCTACAATCTCCTCCTTCTCCCCTCCATCCTAACTTTTCATTAAAAATATTTCAAAATCTTTTTCTTTATTAACAACCTTCCCTTATTCTACATTTTCTACTAGTACAGAAGTATAGATAAGTACAATATTGTTTCCCATCTTCCCATTTCTACCTTGTCTTTGAAGTATTGGGTCCAGATCTCAGCAATCTTCTCCTTCTCCTTTGTCTTCAACAACTCCAGCTTGACAACCTTGTCTAGAGTCTTAACTCCTGCACCTCCAGATCCACCAGCGCGAGCTCGTCCTGTAAAAAATTATTATTATTATTGTCACAATTAAATGATTTTTAAAGAGAATACACTCCTGGAAGGGAAAATAAGAATAAGAGAGAAAAGGGTAGAAGAAAGAAAGAAAGGAAAGGAGAAGGGGAAGAAGGAAATGAAAATAAGGAAAGGAGAAAAAAGCGAAGAAGGAAGAAAGGAAGGAATGGAGAATGGGAAAAAGGATACGGAAAGAAGGAAACTGGAAGAGCGAGGAGAATAAAACAGTAGAAGGTGAAAAAGGAAAGTAAACAAGATGAATGCCAGTGATTAATTATATCATAATTACCTGGTAAAGAGAAATCCTTCTGTTTAGTCGCTACAGGCTCTTTCTTAGTGTCTTCGTGCGCAGATAAGCGAGCTAGGAACTCTTCAGGAGAAGTACTGTAACATAAACGCACATATTACTTTACATCTCGTAGAAAATGATTATCAAGTTATCTATGGCTAAGAGCTGGTTCAGGTTGCAGTTAAAATAAAATCAATTAAGCAATGGTTCTTTATTTGTCCAAGTATATTTTCTCAAAAAGGGCCAAAGAACTAATAAAATTAAAAAAAAAAACATTTTTCTTCTACAACAACTAGTTAATATATTTGAAAAAACTTACTCTTGTAATTTTGCAATTTTGTGCGCATATTTGTCAAAAAATGGATTTTTCTTCAGTTCTTCTATTTGTTCTTCACTCATTCTTTGGCTGGTCTGGAATCCTTTTATTAAGAAATAAGAAGATTAAATTTAAATATTGTTTTAAAACCTCATCTCCATTTTACTAAGGTCCCATGTTTTCCCATCACGGTGATTGTTAAGAAGTACAGGAGATTTTTCCTCCAGGGCCACAGTGAAATCAGTGAAATTAAGGAGTAATAGTTTATTATTTTCAACAATAATTGATCATTATTAAATCAAATCAAATCGCATAGGGTAGGGATGACATTAGACTCCAGTAGTGGATTGGAGGATCATATCCATTCCATGTCCTGTTTTTTCAGTCTGAACTTATTTTTTATGTTGATGATTAATTCTTAAAAGGTCCTAAAAATGGATGTTTTTCGTCTTAAAAGCTTAAAATTATCCCAAAAAAATCGATTAGTTTTTTCTTTAACATCATTCATTTCCCTTCAAATAATTTAAAAAGTTAAAATTTTAATGGAAACCCAGGCCTGGCTGAATCTGAAATCTGAATACATTTTTTTGTTACTTCTATTTCTAATCTAGTATGTTTTATAGTTTATACCTCTAACTGTTGCTCTGTATAAGGAATGTTTACTGAGTCCGCTTTTCAGAACTCCGGGAATCAGTCTGATATAGAAGCACCATTTACAACNTGATGGGGGAATGTTTAAAATGGTGCACAAAAAGGATATCAATCTGAAGACACTAAACATAAGAGTTAAATATCTATTTCTTAATTAGTTTAACTAAGTCTAGATTACATTTCAAATACAAACATGAATCCAATATATCCAAAAAATTAGAAAGAGAAATGGCCATAGATAAAGATAGATTGCGCATGAGACGACATTTTTCATCTTGAAAGATATAAATGTACAGAGATGTTTTAAAGATATTCCTATTATATCCAGAGCGTCCCATATCATATTAGATTATCTCCAATCTTTAACACATAAATACACACATTATACTCGAAAAATCTAGCGTTTTCTGCAAAAAAAATATTCTATTAGCCTTATTAAATTTTTTAAATGATTCATTCTTCTTAAATTTTCTGATTTGTCACCCAAATCGTAATTTAGACCCATTGACGCGGTCTAATATGATGTGGGACACACTGTAGATTAACTAGGTCGGTTGTGAACATTGGCTGTTCTTATGTCATTGAGTACATGTGGTGTACATGAGTTCTGTAGAGAGAAATTTAAATTAGTTTAGTCCTTCTCATGTCCTTCTTCAGTTCTCGTCAATATGATGTATTGCTCAGTGAAATATTGTTGTTTAAATAGTTAAATTAAAACACCAAACCACCCTGCTTATCATTGAAGTACACTTTGACCCCTAGAAGTATGAGTTCGCTGACTACAATTCTTGGTGATTTTGCGTACATAAGCTATCTATGTTTATTTATTTATCTATGAAAATGACAAAGTGAAATATAAAACAACAGCTTTGTTTTTGGAAACTTCCTTTATTGAGATTAATAAAGCGTGCTTCCCTAATACAGCAGGCCATGGGGTACAAAGGACATGTACAAATCTACTCTGAAAAAAATATATTTTATGTTAAAGAAAAAATATTTTATTGCTTCTATCTTTTCTTCTTCTTCTCCACCATCGTGAATCCATCCTCGTCGACTGTAGGGCCATGAGGTTCAGAAACCTGAGGGAAAATTTTAAATCTTCAATCTTAAATTTTCTAGCTCAATTAGTTTTGCACTATTTATTAAGTGACCCACCAATTATAGAATGAAAATTAAGATTTGAATGTATGACCAACAATAAATGAGCTAGCAAAGTATTCATGTTTATTCTTTAAAAATTGATTTATATCAATTATAGTTTCTCTACAGAAGTGAATTGGGGATTTATGCTACAGAAACAAATAAGGAATTTTACGGAATTAAACACATTTCAAACAATATAGAAAACGACGATATCTTCCAAATTTACCAGATTAAGGTATACAGGGTCACCCTAAAAAAATAATCAAATGATCAATTCCATGATATTAAACAAATTTTATTAGATTTAAAACTTTCCTCCATATTTTCAATATTATCTTCTAAACTGTTCAGATCGCTGAAAATAAATATAATTTCATAAAAACAACATATACCGAGTTCATACACTGCATATGTTGTACACTGTACATGAAAGAATGTATATTGAATAAAACCAAAGAACTTAGAGAAAAATTTAATTGTACTGTAGTTTCTGGTAGAAATGTTAATAAATGCAGTTTTAACTTGGTTATTCTCCCAGAAATAGTAGTACACTGTTTTTGAAAACACAGATATGGGGGTTCCCTTATATTTCATAAGAGTATTATATTTGACCAATTAATGAAAATGTAAAAATTACCCGCTATTAATTTCTTCTTCTTCATCACCACTTTCTTCTTCATTATCGTCTTCACATTTAAACAAACTAAGATCACAACGTGGCAAAAGGCGCAATTGTTCTAGAACCTCATCTCCCGTTCTCGTAGAACACAGATTATAATACCGACACACCTTTTCCCCGACCTCCTCCAAGGACCCGTCCTCGATGATGAGATCGAACTCCTGCTGGAGGATTTGCTCGAGAAAGTCTGCGACCTCGTACCCTTGAAGGTTTGTGTTTTCGTAGAACCAAGATTCTGTTGCGGAAATAAACCAGGATTCTTTATCTTTATTCTCAGGACCGCCAGCGCCCTGGACAAAATTTAACAATCTATATAAATATATTTTGCTTGACTGTCAGCCTAAATGTTCGTTTCCAATAAATGTCCAAGTTTATGGCAGTCAAAAAAAAAAACTTGAAAATCCGACAATAAGAACAGGAAAACCCGCGAAATTTTTTTGTTTAAGATGATAAAATGTAAAATGGAGGCATTGAAAGTAAAATTTAAAATTCAGCAATATTTCTGGAAGATAAGCGCCACGCTAATACCTTAAAAAAGCCTAGTTAATTAAAAAATATAATATACTTTTTTATTTGCTTAAGGATATATATATTATATATGTATACATATACATACAAAACATTTTTTTGATTTGGTATTAAAATTAATTAAGAATACTATTAAATCAAATCAAATGGGGTAAGGATGACATTAGACTCCAGTAGTGAATTGGAGGTTCAAGTCCATTACATGTCCTGGTTTTTCAGTCCGGACTTTTTTTTTTAATGTAAAAGTTGTAGTAACACTTTATTTTGTAAATTATAAAGTTTCCAGCCACACGAACAAGTTTGAGCCATGCCTCGCCTCAGAATTACAGTTAAAGGTTTGCCTGACATTTAGGCAAAAGTTAAATAAAGGAAACTTTCCCGGCAAGTTATACTTTCTAAATAAATATTTAAAATACATTTTGATTATGCCTAGTTTAATCATGTATATGATATGTATAGTTAAATCAAGTAGTTTGTTGAGTATAAAATCGAGACAAATCTAGAAACCTTAATTATGGGCAATTTAACCTAGGAAACATAATAACGTTTCTAAGTATTATAATAATAAATATAAAGTAAACATAAACCCTATCGTAAACCTAACCTGCTGTAAAGCGAACTGGAATCCCGACCAGTTTTTAAATATGGCTTCCACTGCTTTATCAAAGTATTGTAGAGGAGGCATTTTGTGTCTGAAAAGAAGAGGAATGTGTACACTGTACAGAGTACACAATAAACTCAAGGTACGCATAATGTACATAAATATATTCAGCAGTTTCTTCAACAACATGGTGTAAACAGAACACAGATTAATTGTAGAGCAAAGATATTTTTACAAAAAATAAGTGGCGGAAATTCATAAAAATCTAAAAAATGAAATTTTATTTAATAGTTAAAGAAATATTTTTTCTTAGAACAATTATGAAAATAAGAATTTCCATTCTGAAAATTTTAAATAAACGAACGAATCACAAGTTAACTTTTTTTCAAAGTCTTGTTATCTAAGTACTAAGCTTAAGTTTGGAAAATTAATTCATTTCAGAAGTACAAATTAAGTAAATATTGAACGTAAGCTCAGTGTTTTAAATCTTACTTAGCGTTTTAAATAGTGTTTTCAGCATGAAAACTAAGAAACTGAGTTTTTAACGTCCTAGTTCTTGGCTGATTATCAGCTAAAAAAAAGTAGGCTGATGTATGTACACTGTACATACATACAATTATTGTTCAGCACTGTACAGTACACGGTACATGTATCAATGAGAGAAATCTTGCTCCTCGTACATAATCTGGTCATAAACATGAGCGTTCACGTGCCGCCCACCGAAAAACCGTCCATGCAATGAATCTCGAGCACCCTGGGGAAACAAATATTTATAATTAAAAAATAATAATAATAATTTGATAAAATAACACCGGTTAGATGACATGGCCGACAAGACTATGGTGTTGAAATAAAAATGGAAAAAATAAAAATTTTCTGGCTTTGCAGTCTACATGCAAATACTGCATCTTTAACTCCAGGCACCTTCCTTGTCAGTCATCCCTTGAATATATTTGGTAGAAAAATAATTCTTCCCCCCCCCCCCCCCTTGAGTAAGAAATGTTTGAGTAGAAGTGGGAAAAATTATTTAAATGAAGTAAATAAGACTTTGTGTAAAAGGTATCAAGAATGAAGATAACGTGACAGATAAATACCGATTTTTATTTTTCCCTTTTTTAGAGAAGGGGGTTGGGCCGTGGGGGGGGGGGGGGTAATTATTCTAGACATATCCCCCTTTAAAGAGAACAAGATGATACCTTAGCCCCTGATGGTTCAGTAAATTCAACAAATATTTTAACAATAATCTCGGCGTCTTCTTCCTCACCCTGTCTTTCCTAAACAGAATTGTTTTAGAAATTAGAATTAAAAGAATCTTAAAAAGAATCCAATGTTTATTTTGCGCTTTATTCATTAGCTTTAGTAATAAGTTTTACGTGCAAGATTCTTTGAATCTCTTCAATAATAAAGGCGTCCAAAAATTAAAAATTGCAAAAAGATAACATCAAAATGTTATCAAAATCACATATGACCAAGAAATTTAGATTGAAGTAGTCTCTGACTTTGAAAAAAAGGTCAGTTTTCTTAAGTTTAAAATTACAATTAAAGTTTAGACCTAAATTAAGGTCATTGTCCAAAACGTTTAATGATACTAAGTTTAAAAGCTAAAAAAAAAAACTACCATTTCCTTAATTAAAAGCAACCTTGTTAAAATAGTAAAAACAATCCGCGAAATTCTCAAAAAAACGAAGGATTTTTAAAACCAGCGTGCGCAGGAACTATATATATATATATATATATATATTATATATATATATATTTTCTCTAGTTTACCTGGTAGATAATAACGTTCTCCACCTCCCCGTACTTGCTGCACTCGTCCTCTATCTCCTCCTGCAGCCTCTCATCCACGTCCTCTGGTCCTACCATGTTACGCAGACACACCACACGACTCTCACGTAGACCTCCGTGGGCCCCCATCAACTTCTATTTGAGAGAACAAGTTATTTAAAAAAAACTTTATAAAAATCATGGGATAAAAAAAATAGAGAAATGACATGATAATGTCAGGTAACTGACATGAAACTGGAATGAAAATGACGGTGAAAAAATAAATAAAGTAAATTGGTGTGAGTGAGTTGAATGAATCGAAACATATAAAAGAATCCAATATACATCTCGACAATTTGAGTAACTGAATAGTGAACAACCATCTAACCTGCATAACTAAATGTCTAGCTGACTGTCCCTTTATCTGCATATTCTCCTGCTGGTAGAGCGTGGTGGACTCGTTATCATCCATCAGCTTCTTCTGCAGCTCAACCTGCTGAGCATTGGCAATTGCCGCCTAAAAAAATAAAAATTGACCAAAAAATATCTTAATTTTTTCCCACAAATAAAGAAAAAACATTTTTACACAAAAATTAAAACTAATATTTAGACAAGACGTGAAATACCTGGGTTGCATCATTCCGATCAAACAGAGGGTTATGCCCCTGCTGGGGCTGAGGGGGCATCTGAACCCCCGGGGGCAAGGGGGGCATACTACTCGGGGGCACAGGGATAGCCCCACTAGCACTCTGAGGTGGCTGGGGTGGTGGTGAATTTTTTTCTTTATGTTCTGATTTAACTTTATGTCTGCTATCCCTGTCTTTTTCACGGCTTCGACGATCCCTGCTGCGATCACGACCTCTTCGACGATCTCTGTCTCGGTCCCGACGATCTCGCTCCTTTTCCCGCTCTCGTTCTTTCTTTCTCTGTTCCTCTTGTGAGATATCGTGAGCATCGATTCCAAGATTCTCCGCTACCGCGTCCAGCGCCTGGATTTTAGCTGTCACGGCAGCAGCAGCAACTAAATACAGTTTTCAATCAAGTAATCAAAAAATTAATTAGCTCATTAATCAACCAATAATGCAAACAATTGATCAATAATTTTCTATTATCTTCATTCTTCATTGTCATTCGCAAATAAAAAGACGGAAAAGCCTTAAAAATAATAATTTCATAGTAAATTTTTAGACAAAGCTATTCAAAATTGTACCTTAGAATGTGTTAAATAATTAAATAAGATCAAGTTCGGGTTTATGATTTCTTTTAAATTTGTCAAGGGCCATAAAAGCCATAAATAATAAAAGGAGAATGATTTACCTGCTGACGCAGTGGGAATAATTGACGCCTTTGCGTCCATGCTCACAGTATTCTTTAGGTCAGGGGGCGTGATAGCCCTCCCTACACGTAGAGCAAGTCCACCCAAATCAAAATTATTCATGGAGTTGATCGCATCCTAAAAAAAAAATTGAACCAGCGAGTTTTATAGATTAAACATTTTCCGGATTTCTGGGGAAATTCGATCTTAAATCTATTCAAAATAAAGCATATGAAACAAAAAAAAAAACTAGAGACCCCCCATTACATTGCTAAAAAAAATCACTGGGAAATTTGTAAACAATCTTAAATGCAAATGTAAATGATTTAAGTCAAGATGTATATCATAAATCTGAATAATTAATATATTGAAGAAGAAACCTACCAGACAGGATTGAAGGGTCTCGTACTCAATGAAACCGTACCCCTTGTGCCTCCCCTCAACAACAGTAGGAACCAGTTCACAGGATTTAATGGTTCCAAATGCTTCAAATACACTTCGAATATCCTCAGTTGCAAGATCCTACAGAAACAAAACAAATGAAAGAATTCATAAGATTAAAAATTCTTTAAAAAATAAATTTCATAAAACTTGATGACAATTTGGATCTATTTTCGTCTTCTGTCTTGAATTTAATCTTTTGAGTTGACTAAGAAATAAATAAGCTTGCTATTGCAGGCAACTTAATCATTAAAGTGTTAGTTTAAAGAATATATCTATGTAAAATTATGTACTTTAATGATAAATATATGTTTACCTATCTATCTATCTATCTATCTAACTAACTTAAAATGTAAAATACAGCCTGTCGTCTCTAAGGTAACTGTTTTTTTTTGTGGGTAAACCTGTTATTTACCCATCACCAACCTGCTCTAGGCCAACCTGTTATCATAAAAATTGAACGTGGACATTGACATCCGTCCGTTTAATTTGCAAAGATTTTTTTCCAACTCCCGTATACACAATACATATAGTTATACCTTATGTATTCCTCCGACATATATTCTGTTGTAGTTCAAGGATTCTCGTTCTATCTCCTCAATAATAGATTGAGCCTGAGGCATGTTGCTAGGACGACCAACCTAGTTAAAATACAAATATAATCTTAAGCTGTTGAAAGCACCTATTTCTAACCATAATAAAATATTTGCTTTATAATTATTTTTATGTCATTAATGCCTTGAAATTTAAGTAAAGTATATTTAAGATGCTTTGTTATTTGAAATGATGCATCATCGTCAATTAATTAAGTAATAAATCTTTTTCTTATTTTTTTTTTTGCAAATATGCTTCGTTTTCAAAAAAGTAATCGGTTTAAATATGTTTTGGAGAGTGCAGCGAAAAGCAGATTAGTAAAGTGTATTGATTAAAAAAAACATTTTTTAAACTCTTTTAATTCCCATAATCTGTTCAAACACATAAAAGAAAAAATATTTAATTCATGTTAGTAAAACTTAAGAAAAAAAATACAGAAACAAACGAATAAGAAGAAGATAATATCAAAATTTTGGTAAAATAAGAAATTTTTCTTTCACAATTTGATTTTTATATTCTGTCTATGACCAAGCTTTTACCAACCTTAATATTCCTGCCGGAGACCAATGTCCCGTTGAGCTGCTCTAGGGCCAACTGTGCTGCTTCAGGGGTGTCGAAGTCCACGAAGGCAAACCCCTTTAAAAATGAACAAATTATAAATGAAAAAATGTTGAAAAGAATGATTTAATAAAGATATTTGTTTAGAAATCATTTATTTAGTGTTTTTAAGGATCGACTGTTTATATATTTTCAACTGACCTTCCATATTTGGCTGAACATTGATAATGTCTAATTGTAATTTTACACGTACCTAGCGGATTTGTGCATGAGAGACAAAGAATAAAATTGTTAGAATTTAATATTAATCAGAAAGAAAGGCGACATCTTTGTCATTTTTGCTTAAATAAAGGGTGGTACCATTAAGAATCGGACATGCCACCTATTATCAGAGGACATTTGAAATAACGCTTACAGTACATTTAAATATTTGATGCGGATTCTGGATTCTGATCCGAACCCAGGGCCTCTCATTCAAAACAACCAACAATGGTTGAAGAGGCCCATCTATCTATCTAATCCGTTTTATTAACTGCTTTTTCAAGTTTCCAAAATCTTAAAGTTGAAACTTTATTGTCCTATGAGAAATCAGAAGATACATTTTCAACAAGTTTGAGCACAAAAACTTGGCATACTTCAACAATCTAACATGTATTCAAATAAAGTTTTAAAGATATTAATAGTTGAACTAACTAATGATTGAAAAAATTAACCTTGTGTTTCTGCGTAATAGGATCCCAGCTCATACTGATCGCTTTGATGGGTCCGAAGGGACCGAAAGCGACCTTGAGAGTCTCCTCTCGAACCTCGAAGTTGATACTTCCGACATAGATTCGACACATCAACACAATTGCCTAGGGTAACGCGAACATAGTAAGATAATTTTATAATAAAAACAATTGAAAAAAATTAAGTTTTAAAATATATTATCAAGTAATACTAAATAAAGTAAGATAATTAAAAAAATATATTTGCATGTATAATATTTATTTTAAGAAAGATTTTTTTCATTTAAATTAAGATTCTAAAAGGATAGCAAAACTCAAAATTTTCTGTTCAAATAACATTGTTGGAAAAAAACTTTAACCTTTAAACTTGCAAAATTTCATACTAAAGTGGTATTTTTTTAATGAGGTTAAGATCTTTTATAAATCTATAGATATTTTGGCGATGACAAAGCAGAAAATTAATCCTGTAATCAGGATTAAATCCATTTCTCGACGAACCTGTTGTCTCTGAAGAGATTTAGCTTGTTGCTGCTGGTGAGCCAGGGTTTGTCTCATCAATACAATTTTGATACTGCAGAAACAAAGCATTAATTAAACTTATTGGGAAGATCCAATAATTTTTCTTTCTTTTTTGTAATTTTAATTCTTGTGATATACCATTTTTTTTCTGGATAAAAAGCTATGGACCAAAAAACTGGCTATTTAAGGTGTTGACTCAATAATACAATTTTTTGAATTATTTATTCTCATACTGTTAGGTATATTATTTAATTTCTCTAAAAGTAATTGATTTTTCAAGCTTTACATTGTAAAGTTAAAAGTATGAAAAAATGCTTTCCTTTGTTCCATGGCATATTTCTTCGCTTTCTGAAACATGAATTTTGATTAAGTTTGCTTAGAATTTCATCATCATAAAACATATATGATTTGGTCATTTTAATGTTTAAATTCGCTGTGGTCTGTCCTTGTGAGTTTGAAAGACGTCCAGGGTCCGTCCTAGAGAACGATTATTGGACCCCCCCCCTCCCCCTCCTATCAATTTTGTACATGACCATTTATTTTTCAGCAAATTTATTATTATTTATTTTTTTGTTATTTAGGGCTAGGTTAAGTTAAGACACTTTCTGGGCCGAGCGCTGCGGCTATAACAGACTAGGTGACCGAGCGCTGCGGCCACATGGTCGAATATATCCATGTTCTACATAAAAGATTAGTATATATTCAGGGTTAGGTTAGGGTAAGACACTTTCTGGGCCGAGCGCTGCGGCTAGGACACGCTAGGAGGCCGAGCGCTGTGGCTGGGTCAGGCTAGGGGGCCGAGCGCCGTGGCTTGGACAGGCTAGGGAGTCGGGCGCTGCGGCCAAATGATCAATTATATTCATGTCTTACATTAAAGATCCATGTACAGGGGGGGGGAGGGGGCGGGGGTCCAAAATCATTCTCTAGGAAATTACGGACGCCCAATCACATATCAACTTTGCACATGAAATAGATTTTTTACATGAAATAAAAATATCTGAGCCTGCTGTCGGGCCCTAGCCCGAAAATTCTCTTTCCATGACCTATTTGCAGTGACGAAAAATTAATACAAATAACTTGTACTTAAAAAGGCTTGATATCAAGGTCGTGTCAGGCGTGGGTCGGATTCTGTGGTAAAACATGCTGTTATTCAAAATTAATTTGTAATCATGCATTCTACCTGGATAAGAGCTTGATCGGAAGAACAGAGTTTAGGAAGAGAAACTGTTCTACCTTCCTTCTTCCCTCCAGGTCCCAGAACCACCCCACCATCCTCCACCAGGCCTGTTACAGGACCAGGCAGGAAACCTAGGTCTCCATTTTCAACCATTTTACTCTGAAATAAATAAGACACAGAACTATCATCTTTGTATTTCTTGAACTAAAAGTTGTTTGATCAAACCGTCTTTATGAATTTTTGATTTTATCTTGAAACTTCGGATTCAAACAGTACACATGTTACCATGCATAAATAAAGCCGAAACAATCGAGCTGCGACTGCCAGTGCCATATTTATGGTGCGCAGACTTCTGCAATATTGCCCCACTTTATTTTAATTTTAATTAGGAACAGACAGCACGCCATTAAAATAAAAAAACATATTTTTAAAGATAAAATGACGTTTTTATAGTTTTGAAAATATTTCTCTAAAAAGGAAATTTATATAATACATAAATAAATTAAAAAATAGCATGTGTCGAATCACTGCATTAAATTTTATAAAAATAATGTCTGCAGGTATATTCTTTGTTTTCTATTTTCCAAAATATGGAAAAATTGTCGAAGACGAGGGAGAGAAATGTCAAAAAGAAAAAAATGAAACAGACGTGCACCCTGCTGTAATTGCATTTCATAAACAGAAATCTTTATAAGAAACAGAAACAGTTCAAAATACTTTTATTAAGAAATGTTTATCGATTTATCTCAAGGAAAAAAACATATGCTAATGTATATTTATATCCTAAAAGTTTTAAATTATAAATGTGATAAATTTTTTAGATATGACAGATGGAATAGGAGAAGGAGAAGACTGGGAAACTCTGCTGGATTCAGGTAGGAATAGTACACTTTGATTTTAATGTTTTACATAGAGCATCATTTATTTATATAGGAATCGTAAATATTTGGTAAATGACACATTTTTAATGTTTTATAATTTTAAAGTAAAATAAATTCAGTAAAGTAAGCAAGAAGCGAAAAACGTACATAAAAGAATAAACGAATAAAAGAATAAGGCGATACACCAATAAGTAATCAATGTTATCTCCTTTTGAAATGTTAACTTTTTTAATGTAAGTGTTGAACATGAGCATTTATTGACCACGATAGAACGGAAAAATGCTTACAATAAAAGACCTTTTTGTATACTTTCTGAAGCGAAAGCATTAGACTTTAATATAAAGGTCGATTTACAACATGTAGGAAAAGCAGAAACTATGACGGGGATCAGAAAAATTTACCAAAAAATACAAAAGATTGTAAAAAAATAGAGAGAATAATTATAAACGATGATTTGTCCCAATAGTTTGGATTTATTTATACTTATACATATAATATAATATTGTTTTATTTTTTGTTCAATAAAGTTGATAAGAAGAAGAAGTTTGGATTTATTACGTTATAAGATGAGGATTTTTTGTAAATACGCTCTTATAACACCTATTTGTCGGTAAGACGTAATTAAGACTTGTGGTCCGTCCTAAACGATTTTTGGTTTTGGATGGCACTATAACCACATAGGCCTGTACAGTTTAAACTTTGAAATAAAGAGTAGTCATAGATACATGGGTCACGATGGATAGTTTATATTCTTCTTGAACTGATTGATTTTTTATCTGATTATTTTATCAGGAAAATTAGACGAATCTCTCTCTAAGCTGAAGATTCTGGAAAGGAAGGATAATATGAAACCTAGGATTCCTTCCTCTCAGCTCAATAACTCAGGAACCATCACAGATCCAACCTATTCCGGTCCTGTCAGGTACTTATTCCAACCTATTCTGTTCCTGTCAGGTATTTAATATTCCGGTCGTATTAAATTCAACTCATTCCGGTCCTGTCAGGAACTAAATCCAACCTATTCCGGTCCTGTTAGGTACTCAGTCCAACCAATTCCGGTCCTTTAAAAACAAGTTCCGGTCTTAGAGAGCCCTTTTTAAACCTGTTCTGTTCATAAAATACACTTTTAACCATATTCAGGTCATTGAAGTTACTTTTAACCATATTCCGGTCATAGAAGGTACTTTTAACCCTGATCCTGTCACAGAAGGTACGACTAACCTTATTCCGGTCATAGATGGTACTTCTTACCCCATTCCGGTCATAGCAGGTACTTCTAACCCTATTCCGGTCATTAAAAGTACTTTAAACCTTATTCCGGTCATAGGGTCTAACTCTATTTCGGTCATAGAAGTTACCCCCACCTTTTTTTCGGTCATCAAAGGTACAGTAAATCCTGTTTTGGTCACTGAAGGATCTTTTGATTGATTGACTGAATAATTGTTTGATTGCTTGATTAATTAATTGAATGCTTGCCCAGGATCTTGACTAACGGTTACAGACCGGAGTATAGAAGTTCAGAACCTAAACTTAAAATACTGAAACGTCCTGAGCCAGAATCTAGCAAACCAGTAGAAACACCGGTAATATATTCATTCATTCAGAAGTTTTTATTTATTCATTTTTTTCTTCAACCTTTTCTTCCTCCTTCATCTGTTCGTTTGATGATTTAATTTGATTTGACTGAGCCTCTCATTCAATTTTTAATTTACCCTTCATTTATAAGTTCTTTAACTATCATTTTACTTTTTGTTTCATTTATTAACAATTCATTCTTTCATCAATTCATTCATCCTGACTTTCATCATTGCATTCATAAATATTTTCATTCATTCTTTACCTCATCCTCTCATTTATTCTGTTAAGTCATCCGTGCCTTAACCTTTTATTCTATCCCTTAATTAATTCATCCTTTCAGCCACCCATCAATCTATTCATTCTATAACTCATTTCTTCCCTCATTAATTCATTCATTTGTTCCCGCATCCATGCATCATTATTTCTATTATTTATAATTTATTCATTCATCATATTATCTTTTATTTCATTTATGATACAGTGGTCGGCGTTTATATCAATACAACGAAGACTACTTTTCTATTTCTGTTTTAATTTCTTAAAAACTTATTTCAAATTACAATACTAGAAAACAAAGAGAAGCTGTTAATTAGCAGCTTCTCTTTGTTTTCATGTTAATGTGTACCCATCCTACTTTAAGGCTTGGTAAAATCCAAAATTTAAATCGAAAGTAGTAATCAGTGTATTGATAGATACCACGACTACTGTAGTTCACATTTTAATTATTTATTTGTTTTAATTTACCTGTTCTTTCTTTTTGCAGACTCAAAAGAACGTACAGAAGAGTTTGGAGCAGAGAGAAGCAGAGTATGCAGAGGCCCGTCTTAGAATCCTTGGCAACCCGCCGCCCCCGCCGACTAATAATAATAAAGTTAAACAAAACAACAAAAAGGCGGGGGAGGGTAAAAAGAACCCCAACGGCAATGCTGCTGTGCCCAAGGGACCTGATGGATCAAAAGGATTTCAAAATCGGCGATAACGGGGTGACACCGGCCCCGTTTACTCCAGGAGAGGCCGATGATAGACAATAAAGTGCTGAATATATATTTATGGTTTCAAATAATACGAAGGTCTTCTAAAGCAGTGGAATAGATCATCTTGCAAGACTTTTTAAACATTTAATATCAGTCATTCACTCATTCATTCATTCATTCATTCATTCATCATTTGTTCATGATAGAATAATATTGTAAATATCAGCTGTGCTAAGAAACCTAGACAATAATTCTACAAGAAATATCTATTATAAACCTTCTTCTCCATTCCTGTTAGATATTCAGTCCTGCCAGTGCTTCTTAGAGCCTACTGTTAATAATTTAAACCCATCGCCCCTTCAACTTACTCTTTAACTCGTCCCTTTCGTCTTCCAGCTGTTCTAAGGGGATACTATACACACCTCTCCTGTAAAACAATTCTCTTAAAAATTCATGAAAACAAAAATTTATCTCCATAAGAATTTTGCCTTTCACCTGAAAACGCTGAAGTATTACGTATTAAATTTACGAGGATAGTCAGGACGTTCCTTTCAGATAGAGAATGTAAGAAAACAGGAGAAAAGGAGAACAGGAGAACAGGAGAACAGGAGAACAGGAGACCAGGAGACCAGGAGACCAGGAGAACCGGAGAACAGGAGACCAGGAGAACAGGAGAACAGGAGACCGGAGACTAGGAGACTAGGAGACCAGGAGATCAAGAGATCAGTAAAACAGGAGAGACGTTAGTGGGCACCTTGATTTTGGAAGTTTTAAAACAAGGTGAACATTTTTCAGTATTTTCAAAGCTCAAATTTGTTCGGTATCCGTATATTTTTTCATTGGTGAATGAATGCAAGTTTAAAGCTTTACAAATTTTTCAAAAAAGATGATAAGGTTCAATCTGGCCTCGATGCCATGCAAAAGAAGTACACATGGAATATCTTCTTTCTCGTTTGAAAAATTGCCAACTTAAAGGGAGTGTCGGTGTAAGATGAAGGGACCAGCTGTCTGAAGTACCTGATTCACGAAAGTATCCATGTCTAATCAATAACGATGAAGTTAGCGTCGATTTTCTAGGTTCAAAAATGTTCAATTATGATAATGTCTGCCATTTTTCTTCAGAAGAAATATGTAGAAACCTCGCAGTAAGTATATGCAGTTTTCAAAATTCTAATTATGGGCATTTATTTCATACTTGATCAGACAAAGGTTTTTAGGATACCGTTGTACATCGGACATGACACTTTAATTGTCGAACTAGTTGAAATTACTTATACAGTCCCTTAAAGTGTTTTTTTTTTATAGATGCTGGCTTGGATTTGTAGTTGGAACACCCCTGGGATCTTGTCTATCCTGGGAGGATTCCTGATCCACCTGACCTTGGGGACCCTCTACTGCTTTGGGAACCTCAACACCTACCTAACCTCCTACCTCAGGGTTCATGTTCCAGAAGAGGTAGGACGATTGTTAATATCATTAATTCAGAATAAGACTTGCTAAAAAATATTTTTTTGTTCCATAAGTTTTCTTACACATGCTATTTTTGTTAAGCATAAAAAAGGGTTTAATTCCTTTCATGTACAAATGTTAGCTTGGTCATCTTTTAAATCTGTTGGTGCAAATTATGGATCGAATATCCAAAAAAATCATGAGCGAAACATAAAAATTTCAATTTAATTACGAACTTAATTGATTAAACAAAAGAAGATTTTGCCAATTAATCAATCAACCAATCAATCAATCAATCAATAATTCCAGGCGAACGCTCATTATTCTGACTCTGTGTGGATCCCCACCCTGGCAACTCTAGGTCAGGGTCTCTTCATGACCTTCTCCGGGCACATGGAGGAGAGGGTTGGGGTCAGGTAAAATAATGCTTTTCAATATTATTTAATATAGGCGAGCTCAAACTGGAAATTCTAGATTCTTATTTTCTGCATTTAAGTGTTGAAATTTTCTTCAAATTCTTTTCTCTCTAAGTATTATGGTGCTTGCTCTGCTTTGAGAGAGAGGGACCTTCACTAAAAAATATTTTAAAATCTGGGGGATCTTTATTCACTATTATTGCTGTTAACTTAAACTTAAAAAGAAGAAGATTTTTTAAAGATAATTTAGCATCTGTATTTTGTTTCTTCTGTAGGTGCTAGACAGGGTTCCCTCTGTATTCCTTCTCCTGGGCAGTATCTATACTGTTATTCAGCTCCTAGCAATACTGCTAATCAACCCACCTATAGGTTAGATAATCATCTCTATTCTCTACATAAATAATCTCTGTTTGTCTGTTTGTTTCTGTTAAGTTTCCAGGATAAGCTCGGTTCTCAATGTAATTTATTTATACAACAGCAGCAAATCCTGGTTTTACATGAAAATAAGAATACCAAATATTCACATATTATATTATCTCAACCTTCGTGCTTGCGAATTCATAAATCGTAAGATAGATAAAATTTGAACAACGTTTGAAACATATTGTGCCAAGCCTTTATTTGTCTTTTTGCACGAATGAGGAATTGCATTTTAACACAATAAGACTTGTGTCTACTTAGTACCCAAACTGGACTTTTTTCCTGTTAACGTACAGTCCTAATTAGAAAGGCCCGGAGTTAATTTATAATGACTGGAGACCAGGAGACCAGGAGATCAAGAGATCAGTAAAACAGGAGAGACGTTAGTGGGCACCTTGATTTTGGAAGTTATAAAACAAGGTGAACATTTTTCAGTATTTTCAAAGCTCAAATTTGTTCGGTATCCGTATATTTTTTCATTGGTGAATGAATGCAAGTTTAAAGCTAACTGTACTGTACTGTACTGTACTGTACTGTACTGTACTGTACTGTACTGTATTGAACTGTATTGTACTGTACTATACTGTCTGTACTGTACTGTACTGTACTGTACTGTACTGTACTGTACTGTACTGTACTGCACTGCACTGCACTGTATTGTACTGTACTGTACTGTAACGTTCCACTGGTTGTTCCTGATGATTTTTCATAAAATGTTCCGAAATTTTCTATCTTTTGATTTCTGTTTCATAGCATTCGAAACCTATTTATTCTTTCTTAGCTGATAGCCAATGATTAGAACAATGTTTAATGTTTATTGTTTAACAATTAATTGGTTTAGATATTCTGGATCCAGTCCTAGTACCAGCACTTCTAACTCAATCCAAGACTTACAGGTATTGGCTCGGGTTGGGTATGGCTGGACGTGTTCCTACTTTCTATTTAAATTGTTCGTCCAGTTCGTTCCCATGAAAGAACTATTGTTCCTTAGGAAGGACGCCCAGTCTGTTCCTACTCTTTTGAAATCGTTCGTTTCGTTCTGTTCGTTCGTAGAGCTCTAAAATGGGATTACTGAGACAAAAGGAAAAGTTAAAAAATAATAAGATTTGCTTACTGTTTTTTACTTTATCTAAATGAGCGTCCCATATCATATTAGATTATCTCCAAGCTTTAACGCCAAATTACGCACATAAATCTCGAAAACCTGGAATTTAATGAAAGAAAATTTTTATATTAGCCTTTTATATTTTTTTAAAAGGGTCAATTTTTTTATTTTCTGATAAGTCCCCTAAATCTTAATTTAGAGCTATAAATGATCTATTATGATGTGGGACACCCTGTAGTATTCTGAAGGTATGTCGGCGCAAAAAATAAAGGATGAACTAAAATGATACGGGATGCACTTCGTATCCCGATAGGTCGTTCTATCAAGATATATTAAATGTAATGCAACCACTAAATATTTGATTTTTTATTCCATTCATTTTCCTTGTTTTTTAGAATTGGGGGGAAATATTCCCACAACCTCTTTTTTGGAGGTTTTTAAAAAATATTTTCAACGGAGGATTTTGGATAATGTTTGATTTTGTTTACAGAATTATTTATTTATTAAAAGATGTGAAGCTTTTTAGTTTATTTTTCCCACATATAGCTGGGGGGGGNGGGGGGTTCTTAGCAATATATACCCCGGTCGTATCATGTAATTAATTGTTCTAGATTGTGAAGGATGAGAATGTGAAACCGGGTCAGGTGGTGAAAACTAAAGAATTCTGGATACTTTGGTTCACCTTCGTACTCAATACTCAGGAAACAGTTCTATCTATCAATCAATCAATTCAGTTCAATTCAATTAAAAAACTCAAATATACATTTTTCTTAATGTAACTTTGGTTGTAATTTTAAGAGCTTCATACCTGATCTATAACGGTACCCTGTAAACCTTTATCTGATCAAGGATCTATCGACGTTTTTCTGGCTTGTGAAGTGTTAAATTCATGGTTCTGTAGCAAGAAACCCGCATATTAAATAAACCCTTTGGCACTTCTAAAAGAGAAATCATGAACATCTCATTCATTCTTTATCTAAGAAAAATGTCAAGGCTACAATTTTGGGGCGTGCCACTCTCTATATGGAGGCTCACTTTTAATTATATCTAACAGTTCCTTTAATTGTCAATAAAAACAAGTTAACAAAACATTTTGAGATTGTTAATTTGAAGAATTGGTTGAACAGGCTGTAGGGTACATAAACACCATGTACAAGGCATTCGGACAGACGTTCATCGACGACGATCATTTCTTGGCGATAGTTGGAGCATTTGCGGCGATCTTTAATTCCTCAGGTGAAATCCTTCAGAAAAGTTGCTAGTTTGCTTATTTCCGTATAAATAAAATACTAAATCATTGGACACTCGATTGTAATTTTGCGGTGCTGAGTACAGGAGAACTTTTTCTAGACACTCGTATATTCCAGGGGTACAACAATATATTCGGGTGTAGATTTTTAAGTAAATTTTTTAGAAAATTCATTTTAAGTTTGGGGGTGGATTGTAGGATTTTCTAACAATATGATATGATTTTTGACAAAATATTTTCAGTAATAATGTACTCTGTACATGTATGTTTTCTAGGCAGTATATTATGGGGACATGTGGGACGGATTCGAATAGAAAATGTATATCCCGTACAACTGTACATGATAATGTTATCTAGGACGTGTATTCTGGGGGTACATGTGCGATGTATTCGGGTACAAGATGTGTATGATACTTGTCACATCCTCCATCTCCTTCCTTTACGCTACCCTGTACTTTACAGAATTCGGGTCTAAGGTATTTTTCATTCTATCATATTTTTTATACCAATAAATAGTTATCTTCCTCCTATTAACATTGTAGAGAGCGTTTAGTCAATTAAAATAAAGGGGAGAAAGTTTCTTAATTTTTTTACCATTGAATTGTTGAAAATGAATTAATTTGTGTGTAAAACGTAAATTCTTTTCCCCCCAGAGCATGGCATCTTAATTCTTGAAATATATACCCCTGTCAAACTCTAATACTACTAATATACAAATAATGCTATTTATACTACTTATACTTATCGTTTACATTTTTGAGGGTAATTCTGAGCTGGTGGTCTGAATATATTTTTTAAAAAGCTTCTTTCCGCCCTCTTTCTCCTTATTACAAACTTTTTTTTTCTATTTGTGAAAATAAAAATGTGAGGAAAGGGGAACATTCATTAATTTAAGATTACATTTGAGGCTCTGTTTGCTGTCTGGGTCTGGTTAATCTTCTTCTCTTTCTGCGGAACCTTTGTTCTTCTACCAACAGCTAGTGCGGTCTGTTTCGGTACAAAATACAGCTCTAAGAACTACGGACTTATTATGACCGGTTCAGCGGCAGCTGCGCCCATAATCGCAATACTTACACAGGTTAATCAATTAATCAATAAACCTACAAATCGACAAATCATTAAACCAATCAATCAATCGCTCAATCAAAAAATCAATCAATTGATTGCTCAATCAGTTTTTAGTGAATTATTCAATTAATTTCAATCTGTCATTAGAGATTTTATGATTTTATTACCGGAAATAAAGGAAATATGATTTAATTTGTTAGAAGCATATCTTGGAATCATTCTTTATCCGTTTTTACTCTTTTACTCCCTTTTGGCAGTAGAAAAACATTTTAAAAAAATTTAACACAATCGGAATTAATACACAACATCTTCAAACGGAGGCTGAAAGAAAAAGCGCAATTATGACCTGCAAATAACATTTTAATGATATTTTTTCTATTAACTCATAAACAGGAGCTTGTAATTAATTTCATATTCAAAACTGAAAAAAATTTGAAAGCAACTTCAAAAACAAATAAGTTTAAGAGCCATTTGAAATAAAAAGGCCGTCTTCGAGATCGGAAACTTTACGGAGCCATAACTTCATCCTCGGAGTTCTCAGAAAGCTCAGCATTGGGTTCCGGGATTATTTTTTCACATCCTGAGTTGTAAGCAAAATTTCAGTAAAATCCGTGACATGCCGTCTATAGGTTGTTGACTTGACATGGAATGACCCTGCCACAACTTGATACCTCTGAATACTAATATAATTATGATTATTTAGGGATTGTCTCCTGTTGTTGGTTACCTAGGAATGTTCATAATAATCTCCTGTTTCTCTGCTGCGAGCGCACTGCTTACTTTTTTCTTTCCACCCAACCCTGAACCAGCAAAAATTCTTGACAAGCTCAATCCAGCAAACATCTAGCAGACAACCTACCTAGAGGGAAACCTTTAGGAGATATATAGCCTAGGGGAACCTTTTGGAGACTATAAACCTATCCCGAACCTATAGGAGATATCTAATCTAGTGGAACCTACTGGAGATATCTAACCTATTGGAATCTCTAGCAGACAACCAATCTAGGGGAACCTTTAACAGCCAACCAATTTAGGTGAACGAATCCTAGCGTACAACCAACCCACGGGGACCTTCAGCAGACAACTAACATAGGGGAACTTTTACCAGAACACCAACCTTGTGGAATCTTTAGCAGACATCCAACCCAAGGGAACTCATCAAGACACAACTTAGGTCAACCTTCTCTGACAGACAACCAACCTAGGGGAACCTCTAGCGTACTTCGAACTTATGGGAACCTGAAGCAGAACTTCATCGTATTGGAACCTCTATCTAAACTAAACTAAACTAAACTAAACTAAACTAAACTAAACTAAACTAAAAGAACCTCTGCTAGATCTTCAAAATAATAGATTTTCTTATTTAAAAGAGCTAAATTTATAAGTTCAGTCAGAAAATATTTATGAATATTGTTAAGTTTTTCATCACCAAGAAATCTAAAATCTTCTAGTCTTAATTTTGAATATTATGTACGGAATGATATTTTTATGGTATTTTTTTTCGCCAGTAAGGGAACTTTTAATCTAATGAACTGAGCTTAAAATCTGCTTAGCTTAACTTTAAAGAAAAGATTGCGGCTGCTTATTTTTGCTTTCTTCTAGAAACAAAGATCTTAATATATTTATGTATTGTTTGTTTGTATTGTATCAATGGGTAGCACTTGTTAATATTTATAAGATCCAAAGGAAAGGTGTGCCAATTTTTTCTTCCGAGTGAAATAATTCTCACTAAAATGTTCACACATTAATTGACCATAAGAAATTTTTAAGCATTTATGAAGTATACTACAATTTTACGTAACCTATAAATTAGAATAGACAAATATCAATTTATAGAATGTTACCCAAATGTCGGTGTTTGTAAAACGTTTTAGTCATATGCCATCTTAAATGTATTTTTAGAGTTTATTTTTCTGTCTTCCTTGAAGTCTTGCTTTCAGAACTAATCTTCATTTCTTGATCATGAATGTAAATCAGTATTATTATTAACCTATAGAAAAGTAGATTAATTAAATCTCATCTTTGCAACTAAAGCGATTAAAAAACACAAGGAACAAAGTTTTTGCTCAAGCAATTTTATTTAAGACAAGACAAGTTTTAAGAATAAAACATCACAATTTAATTTTTAAAATCTCAAATGAAAGCAATACTTTATCAATGCGAATTGGTTCACTTCATTAATCTACATAATTTTTACAACAATTATTGGATTAGACTTCCACGATTTTCTTTAATATCAGAACAATAGTTAGGAAAATGTGTTTGTTCAACCTAGAAGCCTAACCAGCTGAGGCCGCAATTTAGATAATTTAGGAAAAATTAGTCTTAAAACTGAAGGGAACTTCAAGAATTACATAATTTTTTATGCTCTGAGCGGAAAAAATAAAAAATGGACATCTAAAGGCAAGTTTAGTCATCCTTTTGATACTTTTTAACCACACATTTAATAATATTTTCCAATTCAGCGAATAAATCCTAAAAAACAACTTGCCACCCAGCACAAACTTACCTAACATGATTTTTCTAAGCGGGAAGGCAGGGTGGGGTGGAGAGTTTTTCTTGAAAATTTACCCCTGTCTCAAGACAAAGCTGCCATTGAGAATAAAATAAAAGACTTGATCATTGAGATCTTTTTGTACAGTTTTTCCATAGGTTGAATCAAATTTATAATCCAAGTAAATCAATTTGACAAAATTCAACTTTGAACGTCCGCATTAAGACTAAAAGATGTAGATTCTATACTTAAGCTGTTGAATCGCGGCCTCTCATCTGATTTCAGCTCAGTAATTGATCTCTGATTTTGGCATTTATTTTCTGTGATTTTAAGAAGGCTTTCATGTTCCCTTTATTATATACATTTATTGTCTCGAAAGAAAGTTTTAAAGACGTATTTTAACTTGTAAGTTAGATAGGTTTCAGTTTTTCAACGTTCACTTGCATTTTTTATTTAATCCATGAAGAAAATAATTGTTATATTAAAATATACTTATATATCTTGTACTGTATCTAGTCATTTAAAAAAATGCTTATATTTTGTTATATTTATTTAAGATTTATGTCTATTAATCTGTTTTTTTTTTCAGATAAAATATGTTACAAAAATGGTATCTCAGAAAAATTACAAAATAAAAAAAGTAACTTTTTCTTATTTGTTTCAATTAGTGATTAGTTATTTTTCTCATAATTTTATCAATTAATAGGAAATCCTACCTTTTCAATTGATTTCGTTTTTTTAAATCCGATTTAAACTTGAAATATTAAGCAGTGTCATATTATTACTATGTGCTTTGATTTTACTCATTTAAAATTTGAATCAATATTTTTCAAGAACTTCAAAAAATGCGACCTCGTCACATCTAATAAATTTTGGGTAAAATTCATCTAAAAAACAATAAATATCGGGAACTAAGTATTCATTAAACATTTAAGTCACAATTATTTAAAATAATGAAGAAGGTTTAAGAATTATTCGACTTAGAAATATTTCTGTAGTCTTGGCAGGTTTGGTTGATTCAAGCCAACGGAATTATTTGATTCGCGCAATTTTAAGCTGATTTTGTACAACTACAAGATTAAGTCAAGTCAACATTCTATTTAAGTTCATTAGAGATTGTAAATTTTGAGTCTGTTTAGGTTAATTTACACATATACATTCCAGACTTATGTTCCCCCATTCGCCTCACATCAAATATAAGCACTTCATCCTAAACAGAATTAAAGTGGGGTCAAAATTAGTATTTTAAAAAAAATCTTACAAAAATTTAAAATATCATATTTATCTTTTTTAATGATCACCCCCCCCCCCCCTCACTGATAATGTGAATTTACTTTGTGAGAAAAAATCAGAGTAGAAATAGACTTAATTTTTAAAAGTTCTGTTATTTAATATTTCCAAGAAAGCCTGAACCCTACCAATCCCCCCCCACCCCTTCCTGAAATATCTTTTAAAAGAATTTGTTACCTGTGCATAATCTTTATATGGAATCTCATTCTCTACTTGAAATCCCAGCTTTCGGAATATTGCCTTGAAACAGGTGAAAATATATTTTAGGGGGTTTTAAAATCTTTTCAACCACGACGATTCTTAACTTGAATTAAATTCAGTTTCATGTCTATTTGGCTAATAAATCATTTCTGATCCAAAAAAAAACCACTCAAATTATAAAACAATTTGTGTGGAAACTTACTTTCTTCTTCATTTTTTATATGTTTTAAAAGTTCTTTTCGACTGGAATATTCAGAGAAGAGACCTTTTGAATAAACTTATTTTTTCTTCGAAATTTATCAATCTTATGTTGTTAAAATCAAGAGAAAAAGAACGTCATTTAGACGGCCAGCTTTATAGTTGCGTAACTTTTAAATCAAATTCAACATTTTTACTTATTAAATTAGAATCTATGAACCTGTGAGTAGACTGATAGTGCCAGGGTTTCCACCAAGCCAACTTGTTTTCTAATAATACAAAATTTTCGAAGAATTTGTGAAAATTTATCGACAACATTTTTCAATGTATTTGTAGAGGTCGCTGAACTACCTACATGCCGGTCAAATTCTGAATCACCTATTCAAATCCTCAATTGTGAATCTGTGATTTAGGATTTTAATTAGCGGCATCTCCCCAATTAATTAAACTCGATCCCTTGTACACTTTTAGATTTTACGTAATTGATTTTGTTATTCTGTGTGCCTTTGCTTCTTTCTAAATATGTTAGGATTTAAAGACATTTTTGTCCAGTTCATTGATTCTGGCTTAGTTTTAGATCCTACATAGTTAATATAGTTAATTTTAAATACTTTAACTGCTTTTATCTTTCTGAATACTTTTTGATTATTTTTTTTAATTAAGAAAGCGTTCATTGACCCCTTCTAATCAATGTTAACATCATAAATCAGTGATCTATTAGTATTCTATTGAAGACATCAGTTATGTCAGTGACATTCATACAGAAAACTTACTCTTCAGCCATTTTCAGAGCCTGAAAAAAAAAAATATTTTGTAGTTTCGTAAATATAACATTTTTAAAAGTTTGAAATTTTCTTTTGACACGATTACCTGAGAAACAAGTTTTGTCGCCAGACCTTGTTTTCTCACTTCACTTTTTGTACAGAGCATGTAAATCTCAAGACAGCTCGTCTTGCAGTACTAAACAGTAATATTATTTTTAAATCGGGAGGTAACAAGAAGTTTATAACAGTTCAGTTTGTCTTAATCTTGAGTTTCAAACTTTCATTAGCTTCTCTCTACTCAGGAAGAGAAGAAATAATCGATTTTCGTCATTACCAAAAATACTGTAGCGAATTTTAAAACCCACTCAGATTCTAAATACATATTTAAAAGGATAAAACATTGCAATATACATTGAAGTGTCTAAAAGTAAAAAGCAATATTCATGTTGGCAAATGTTTAAAATTTTTTCCATGTTAGTTTCTATGTTCACATTTAAAGTTTCTTTTATTTATTAAGGTCCTTCTATACTCCACAGGACCAACTTTATATTACCATTTTTTTACCTTTTCCATGATGCAGAACCGTCCAAAGTCTGTTGAGAGATCATCAAAGAATGATAAGAGTTTGATCATCTTCTCTGGTAATTCATCAGAATCATCTTTTTCGGGTTTCTTTTCATCAGAATCATCGTCTTCCTTCATGCAAAATGTTTTCAGTCTTCTCAAACCCCATTAATCAAAATTATATTTCTGCTATTCTAGTGTTAAATATTTCCTACTTTTTTTTAGTATTAACATTAATTGCCTTTTGGTATTTGTTAAAACAATTTTTGTTCTTTTTTCACGAAAATAATATATTCTCTGACAACGCTGAATAGATTGTTAATGTAAAACTTGAAGTTGAATTGCTCATATTAAGTTAAGATATATATATATATATATATATTGTTTCAGTTTTTAACTTCACATTTTTTATTAAAAAAGAATTATGCTATATATATATATATATTTTGTAAATTTTATGTAGTTTGAAATTTCTACCCCCGTTTTGAGGTTCGCCACAAGAACTCCAATTAACTGTCCATCCTCCTCAGCAACTAAGCTAAATTAAAGAAAGTGTTCGTGAAAAATAGCTTTTCCTGAAATCGAAACTTTCTTTTTAAAAGTGTCAACCAATTTAACTTTAAATTTTTAAAATAAACTATTGAACATTTCTTGGGATCTTAATAGTTTCCCAACCTAAATATGTGAAGGGGTTCATGAGTTAAGATCGGCCAAACAACCAGAGATTACAACTTTATATATATATATAGAACGGTTCTAAATTCTAGCATTTTTCTGTCAAAAAGATCATTTGTTGTATTTTTAAAGTTTCGGTGTTCAGTTTTTTTTTTTAGATTTCAAAGATTGACTTAATTTAATGAAGACCTGTATTCTGTTTCAAGCATACTTAGCACAGTTTTCTCTACACCAGGAATAGCATAACCTACACAAATAATGCATAAAAAGTGGATATAAGCTTATGTTTTCCAAAATAGCAAGACATAAATGCAATATTTTTATAAAATTTTCCTTTGTAAACAATTAATCAAAAATGCAAATTTTTTAGAATTTTGTCGTTTAATGAATATTTTTTTTGGAAATAAAAATGAAATTGTTGGAAGAAAGTGAAGACCAGGTGTTAAAACAGTTTTAGTCTCACTTTCTTTAAGTTTTTCTTTTTTTGAAAATGTCTTCACTGGTTTTCTTGTTTTTCTGGAAAGATAAAACATGAAATAAATAAAACACCACGTTTTTTTACCTTTAGGGCATAGATCAAGTCCAACTGCTGCTGGTTCATGCGGGAAGAAGTATTTTCGTAGGAGAAGAATAATACCGGAATAATCCTCCGGGGTTACACTTCGAACCGTAATCATTTTTTCTAGAAAAGTAAACTTAAATTTGTATTGTTTAATGTGTTAAAACTTTAATCCACACAGATTTAACAGTAAACTGTGACGTTCGATCTCAATTGGACCAATTAAACATAAATCTTTCGTTTTTACTCTTTTTGATATTTGTATTTCAAATGACAAAGTAGAAAAAGACAGCTTTGCAAGCTTAAAGATTATTGAATTATACATAGTTCAAGGTGAATTAGGAATAAAAGAATTCGTACAAAGAGAGGGAACGGCGTTTAAAGGGTTTGCTGGGCAAGAAAATCTATCAAAATTTTGCCCAAATACTCATATAAATTTAAATCACATTAATAGCTTCAAAAAGTGGGTTAGTGAGCTCTCAATTAAGAGCCTAGTAAGTAGTAACGTTAACAATATAAAGTAGGTCCGGTCTCAGAAGTTGATGCATATTTTTATTAACTGTTTAAATTTGTCATTTTTATTTTTGTTTCAGATAAAGAATGAGCCGGTTAACCTGTGTTAGGTTGATCCATCGAGAATGCAGTTCTAGAGCTCTCGTGTTTAATCCTATTAGACAGGAATATAGAACAATAAAGTAAGTATGCATATATTGTATAACTAATCTTATTCTTAATAAAGTAAGTATGCATATATTGTACAACTTATCTTATTCTTAATAAAGTAAGTATGCATAAATTGTATAACTTATCTTATTCTTAATAAAGTAAGTATGCATATATTCTACAACTTATCTTATTCTTAATAAAGTAAGCATGCATATATTGTACAACTTATCTTATTCTATACTTACAACCAAGGTCTAATAGATGATCCTTCGTCCGTGCAAAGGTGGCAATGTCCGGTTCACAACGGTACCCTTGAAAGCTTTCTCTGGTCAATCATGAATTAAATATCAATTTTTATAATTTCTGAACTGAACTTCCAATTGTAGTTTCTTTAGAAAAGTGACTTATTTCAATTGGTTAAAAATATGTATAAACTATCAGAAATAAAGTTTAAACGTTTTTAAACCTAGAAAAATGACAATGTGTTCCACATTATTAATATGATTAAGGTTTCAAGGGTTCTGTTGTTAGTCGGGCATTGCCATCTTTGCTAACCTGTTTAAGAATATACCAACCACTGTTGTATTTTTATTCACACCCTGAGCTTTCCTTATACGTTATAGTAAAGTTTATCTTCCCCACTTTGTATATAATCTTTAACGCCTTGCGATATTCTAACTAAATTACAAACATTTAAATTTTTAGTTTTTTTTCTTGAGAAGGATGATTTTTAAAATGAAATTTGCATTTTGCTTTGACACATTGACACCCCTAGAATGAGATTTAATGAATCGCAAGAAGTAGCTTATCTGCGCAGACGTAGTTCAACCATGTCTAGCCATCCATTAAATTTGCTCCATTATTTAGGAAGTTGAGCCGAAACCGATAGAGTTGGTAGGAGATAACTTCGTTCAAAGACTGTATAAAAAGATGTTCAGGGAAAATGCGCAACTTTTTGTCAGCGTTTTAAAAAATGCCCAAAACAGTTATTATTATTGTTATATACTTTATTTTCTTAAACATATGATTCAATATCACAGTTAATCTTATAAAAGTTTATTTCCGGATGTTATGGATTTTTTTATGAATATACCTTATAAAGGGTGACCCAAAAAAAACACGTGCTATCAAGGTTCTTGAGCCCACACAATCTTGCAAAAAGTTCAAAAATGTGCCCAGCAGAAAGGTTTTATTAGTGAAGGGTATGGCTTTTAAAAACCTAATCCTACCATTTTTGGGGTTCGCCCTGTATGTGAAATAAAGTTGCATGACGGTTTAGAGGTGTTCCTAAGAGTAAACTGAAGGCTAGTGGATATATTCTTTTAACTCACTGTGTTCAACTTCAACAATTAGACAAATTTTTCAGGAAACTTACAGACACATCATGACACAGTCTAGTCTGTATCAATTAAAGAAATCATCATTTTTATTAATATTTTAAGAGTTCCATCACAAACTATTTAGAACCGTATCCATTTATCTGAGAAACGATTTTTTATTTCTGGAATGAGACACATCTTTGTAAAAGTTGATTGTTAATTGTCATATGTACTTTTATAAATAAGGATCACATTTAAAGTTAAATCATTTTATTTGACTCCTGCCTGGCCTTCCACACTTTGTTTCTATGAAGAATGGACCAGTGAGGGGCTCCTCTTTTTGTAGCGGTTTGACGAGAGCTTAACTCTGATTTTCTTAATCGGCCATTTTAATTATTTATTTCTATTTGAATCTGTTGGTTCAGAGTATTTGATATGCCGGATACTTTCTACTCCTGGTTCCTCGTCTCAGAGCTTCACGTCTGGATGCTTTGTGTGAGAATCAATAATAATTACTTAAAAAACTTTCTAAAGAAGATGAAAACTATGGATAAACTTGTGTAAATTATGTTACATGCTTAATTATAAAAATTTATCAACCATTTCTGATTTTTTTTTATTTCGACCCGCCGTTTGACTGTTCTCTGTGCATAAAATGAATTTGTTCAATACTGTGATGTCGAAAAAGTGAAGAAGTTCTAATGTCAGCCGTTTAAAAGTTATTTAGAAACCGTGATTGGGTTAAAATAAGCTTCAAGCTTTAAGAGTGAGTTTTCATCTTTTTGACCATTTTTGCAGAATTCTTCAATTTTCTAATTTGCTTTCGCATTTTTCGCTTTTAATAATAATAATATTATTTAAAAATACATATTAGGCCCGACTAATGAATGAGGGAGATTATGGTCGAATTGTCAGAAATGCAATGGTAGAAGCACTTTGGCAGGTAAATAGATATATTGTTATGCCATTGATAGCGGGGATCTTATCCTAAACTTGTCAAAATGGTATAACTATTAGTTTTCAAGGTCATTTAAATACTAGATTCGCCCCTTTTAAAATTCGGTGATGGTGATGGACCAAACCTCTATAAGTAACAAAAGTAGACGTTAGTTCCACATTTATTGAAGGAGGGTGGGGGAGGACTTTGTTTGGGTTTTTATTTCAGATTCCCCTTTTATATTTAAAAATTATTATTTTTTTAAAACTAAATGGTTGTATTTTCAAGACCAAAACTTAATCAAAAATAAGATACTTCTAGCTAAACCTTTTTATATGTATATTGGATACTGGTGATAATCAGAAAACTCTGAAATGGACGACGACTTAATAAAGTCCAATAAGCATGAGACACAGAAAGTGTCCCGTGTAACACAAAAGACCCATTTTACTAAGTTAGTGATTTGATAAGTGTCTTGTAAAATATTTGCTTTGTAACAATAGCAAATATTATGTCGTCTTTTTATTCCATTGTTTCTGGTTATCACTTTATTCAATAATAATAATATCAACAATTTGAATGATATATTTATGACATAAAACATCAGGATTGTGATCAAAGAGCTAAATCTATCGGAGATATGGCGGGTTCTGCTCGATCCAAACAGATATTGGCAATTTCAGAGGAATTTCAGGTAAAATATTAATAAAAAAGGGAGTGTTCATAAAGATTAAATCTGGGGTTTAGGAAATATTGATCAGAGGTCGGAATTAATGAATAGCAAGAAGTAGTTGAGCTGGATACATTTAGAAGAACAACTTCATCGGTGTGTGGCCGAGAGTACACGCGAGTTACTTATACCCATACATAGTCCAATTTCTTTTCGCTCTTAAAATTTTCCGACCTCTGCCCTATTTTATCTTATTCTCATATTTCTCAGATCTAATCCACAAAATATCTTTAAAATTGTTCTCTCTACGCATGACTTCTGACAACCTCGTTATTGAAGAACGTTTTTTTTCTTCTCCGTGTTATTCTAAAAATTCCCATTGGAGTAACATTATCAGAAATTGTTTTGTTCTCTAATTGAATTTCCAGTTTTTTTTTTAATCAAAAAGAAGCATTTCCGTCATTCTTCAAAAACACCTAAAGGTTTATTTTTCTCGTTCATTTTGGGAAAACAGGTGATTTGAGTTAAAAGTATAAAGATCAAGTGTGCCGGGGAAAGTCAATATTTTCGGGGTTTTTTCTTCAAAATTGTACAAAAATATCTTTTATCTACCAAGTAAATGTGTATTGTTCAGGCTGCATTGTTTGTATATGACGAGGGACTACTGGGTTCAGATCAGGAACTAGCAAACGCACTCTGGAGACGATTCTTTCTTTCTATGCGGAATTCAGAGGAAAAACAGGTGGGTGTAGATACAGGGTGTACCAGTAAATATGGAATGTTGAGAGATAATTGTTTTTGATCCTCGAAATATTTTTCTGTATTTTTTGTCAGTATGATTATTACTAACTTATTATGTTACCCAAGAACACCCTAGAGAAAACAAAGTTAAATAAAAGAAAATGTCATTAGCGCGTAAATATTTTATTCTATTGCGTGTAAACCTGAACCCCCGTCTTTTCTGTTCAGGTTCCAGATATGGAGAAGATAGCTCTACTAGTTGATTATGTTCGGCGCACCATGAACCACCTGGATAATACTGACGCAGTCACCCTGCTCATGAAGGGTCAGGTGTCCTGGCTTCAGCTTAATGAGAGTATTAGTGCTCGTTCCTAGTATTCTCATCATGGTACTGATGATTAATCTTTAAAACATGGGGTTAACGAGGGCTATTACTAATACATCAGATGCATTAAAAAAGTTCTTAATTACAAAAACAAATGAACGAATCTTTTCAACAAATTTATTACTATGGTTCCGACATTGCATAAATGAAGAACGGAGACTTTACAAGTTATGCTACTGCACTTTACACTGTGCACTGTACACTGTACTTTGTACACTATACACTAATTCACTGTACACTGTACACTGTACAATGTACACTGTACACTGTAAACTGTGCACGTTACACTGTACACTATGATGAAATGTAAAGTAAAGTGTGCTCATATCTTCTCTAAAGCTTCTGATGTCAAGTGCTTGCTCTAGTAAACTAAACCTTGAGATCTATATTCAAACGTAATATTTTTTTTGATGAAACAGAACAACTTGAATTTGGTTTCAGAATGTTTAATGTAAATATACCCAGGAATTATCGGTAAATTGATTATGACCCAATAAAATTATTTATTAAGATTAGTTCATGTATGGCAATAATTGATTTTAAGTGAATGGTTGGAACCAAAGATATTAAAAAATACACTAGATGGGAGAGTCGATGATGTACTATATTTGTCATGGGTTAATGTTTTGTGTACTTTTGCGGTTTTTGCCAGATTATATAATTGGTTTTAAGCTAACAAGTTTTCATTAGTATGCATCGGTCTTCTGTCCCATTTGCTGTGTCCGAAAAAGAAAGCCTATTTTTAGACCAAATTAGAACTATAAATAGAATAATAAATAGAATAAACATGAGACACAGCAATTGTGCAGGGTACAGAGATCCTTTTGAATTAATATGAGATTTTTTAAGATAGTAGTAAAACGACATCAGATACACTTAATTATTGCTTTAAGGTCGTCTCTTATCGCAGTTTTCTGATTCTCACTGTAGCATACATCAGTCTTCTCTTCCATTTAATGTGTCTCTTATACCTGTGGACAAATTATTGGAACTACAGTACAAACATGTACAATAAACCACATATGAGGACTTTAAAAAAACAACTTTTGGTTTGAGAATAGATTTTGCAAAAAAAAGTGCAGAATGTGTTTGGATTAAGTGGGCTTTTGAGTGGATTATACCTTATAAGGACTGTGCTGGATTGAACTATAGGGGTTTAAGTACACTGTTGAACTGTGTAGAATATTAAATGTACTATGTACTGGACTGAACTATAAGGGTTAAAGTACACTGGTGAACTGTTTTGAATATTAAATGTACTATGTACTTGATTAAACTATAGGGGTTGAAGTACACTAATGGAACTGTTTTGAATATTAGATGTACTATGTACCGGATTAAACTATAGGGGTTGAAGTATACTGATGAACTTTGTAGAATATTAAATGTACTATGTACTAGATTAAACTATAGGGGTTGAAGTATACTGATGAACTGTGTAGAATATTAAATGTACTATGTATTGGACTGAACTATAAGGGTTGAAGTACACTGATGAACTGTGTAGAATATTAAATGTACTATGTACTGGATTAAACTATAGGGGTTGAAGTATACTGAAAAACTGTGTAGAATATTAAATGTACTATGTATTGGACTGAACTATAAGGGTTGAAGTACACTGATGAAGTGTGTAGAATATTAAATGTACTATGTAAAATTTTGATGATTCTGGAATTTCATTTCGTGCAGTGGATTGCACAAAAAAATAATTTGTTTTGGCATATGTATTCTTTTTGTTCGTTTTTCAGTTTTTATGAAAATTGATTATTAATTATTAATTATCAAATAAGCATATTAATATTTCATTGATTTGTTTTATTTTGCTTTGTACCTACCTATAGAATTGAAATTATCTTTAATAAACATAAAAATCAATAGATTTCGTTTACTCCTCTATTTTTGAATAGAAAGGTTGTTTTCTGGTTTTTGTTTCAATATTTCAATTTTTTCCTTTAGTACTTCATTTTGTATTTAACGGTATATTTTAGTTTAATTATAATATTCAATGTATTCATTTATATTTGTAAATTAATATATATTTTGGTATATTTTGCGGTAATTTAGTATATCCTTTCTTGTACTAAGGTTAATTCACAGGTATTTCAGTTTATTTATCGATATTTAAGATTATTTATCGGTATTTTAGATTATTTATTGGCATTTTAGCATATTTATCGGTATTTTAGCATATTTATTTTAGTTTTTTGGTCAGTTTAAAGATATTTAAGTTTAGTTATAGATATTTCAGTTTAGTTATCGGTATTTTAGCTGTTATTTATCGGTATTTTAGTTTTTTATCGGTATTTTAGTTTATTTATCGGTATTTCAGTCTATTTGCTTGTCTGTTTGTATCCAATAAACGTCAGAACGGTTGAACCCATCGGGCCAAAATTTGTGTGGGACCTCACATAACCCCAGGGAAGGTTTATGGACGATCAAAATTTCATAAATTTGCCTCCATCAAAATTCGAAAAGTTTAAAATCCATGAAATTTTTTTTAATAAAATCCGCGAACTTATTTAGTTTTTGTTTTTCAGTCAAAGCGAAATTGTTCGCAATTGAAATAAAGATGAGCACGAAGCGCTCTAAAAACCTAGATTCGTATATTTACCACTATTTTTATCAACATCTATTTCAGATAAATGTTTGGAAAGTTTAGAAGTGGGGGAGGTGACGATTACGGGAAAAATCGAGGAGGGGGTAGAGGAGATTACGAGTATGGATATAAGAGAAACGGAGGAGAAAGAGAAGAGGAGGATATGAAACCTCAGATAGATTGGGATACAGTCAAGAGCATAAAGGTAGGAAATAATTGCATAATTAAAAAAAAATATTTTTATTTCGAAATTTAAACAATATACTTTCATAAATCATTTTTTTCTTATTCAGATTACAAATATTATTCTTATCATTACTATTTACATCATTTACTATTTTTTTAGATTTGAATATTTTATATCAGAATTTATACAATTTACTGTTAATATTATTTTATTCTTATAACAATATTACAAATATAATTTTCATAGTTATTAAATTTTTCATCGTACTTTGGTTCATATTGATATTTTTATTGTTAATAAACTGCCCGCCAGTTATTGTTTGAATTTAGAACAGTGTAGAGACTAAGACACTTTTTACTCCTGAACTATGCTCCGAGATTGAAAAGAAAATAGGTAAAAAGATCTATAATTAGATTCTTAAATTGATTATCAACAAGACAAAGTTTCCAATTATTATTGATGAATAAAACTTTTTTGAATAAAAATATTTATAAAAGTTTGTTTAAACGTTACAGTATATTTTTAACTTTACCAGGTTAGTTTGACTAGTTGTCTTTTTTTTTAAGAATGGTGGGTTTTTAATGTTTACATGAGTTTTTTCAACTTTACAATATTTTAAACTCATTAGCACTTTTATGCGTAATTTTCTCAGATTGGTTGTACATACACATCAAACATCAAAATGGCTTAACAGATCAGGCCCATTTTTTGTGGTACCTATCATGACTCAAGAGAAGGTTTATGGCCGGTCAAAATTAAACAATTTTATCTGTAAATAGCTTCGATTGTTTATTTCGGAGATCCTTCAATTAAAACATGATTATTTGAAAATGTACGAAATGCTGACGTATATATTTCAAAAACAATTTGCTGAAGGCCGTGTACCGTACAGCTTTTTTACAATGTTTTGTTTAGATGAAGTTGTTGCGGATGGTGAGAAGGGAATATACAAGGATTGTACAGTAGACAGAGCTCCACTCAGGTACTAAAGTATTATGTACAACCAAGAATGCAGTACAACAGAAAACAATGTTATTTTACTAAAATTATTAACTCTAAAATGAGAGTATTTTAAGAAAATATCATCTTTAAGAAAAATTATTTGACACATTTGTAAGATTTGTTATTGTTCAGGAATAAATATTTTTTTGGTGAGGGATATACTTACGGAGCACAGCTACAAAATAGGTTAGTTTTGTTAAACTCAAAACTTGGGTCAACTCTTTAAAAAATCGAAGTAATATGAACACCTGAATGTATGTACAAAGTAATATAAACACGTGAATGTATGTACAAAGTAATATAAACACCTGAATGTATGTGCAAAGTAATATAAAGAGGTAAATGTATGTGCAAAGTAATATAAACAGGTGAATGTATGTACAAAGTAATATAAACACCTGAATGTATGTGCAAAGTAATATAAAGAGGTGAATGTATGTGCAAAGTAGTATAAACAGGTGAATGTATGTACAAAGTAATATAAACAGGTGAATGTATGTGCAAAGTAATATAAACACCTGAATGTATGTGCAAAGTAATATAAACACCTGAATGTATGTACAAAGTAATATAAACAGGTGAATGTATGTACAAAGTAGTATAAACAGGTGAATGTATGTGCAAAGTAATGTAAAGAGGTGAATTTATGTGCAAAGTAATATAAACAGGTAAATGTATGTGCAAAATAAAATAAACAGGTGAATGTATGTGCGAAGTAATATAAACAGGTGAATGTTTGTGCAAAGTAATATAAACAGGTGAATGTATGTGCAAAGTAATATAAACAGGTGAATGTATGTGCAAAGTAATATAAACAGGTGAATGTATGTGCAAAGAAATATAAACACGTGAATGTATGTGCAAAGAAATATAAACACGTGAATGTATGTGCAAAGAAATATAAACACGTGAATGTATGTGCAAAGAAATATAAACACGTGAATGTATGTGCAAAGAAATATAAACACGTGAATGTATGTGCAAAGAAATATAAACACGTGAATGTATGTGCAAAGAAATATAAACACGTGAATGTATGTGCAAAGAAATATAAACACGTGAATGTATGTGCAAAGAAATATAAACACGTGAATGTATGTGCAAAGAAATATTAACACCTGAATGTATGTGCAAAGTAATATAAACAGTTGAATGTTTGTGCAAAGTAATATAAACACCTGAATGTATGTGCAAAGTAATTTAAACAGGTGAATGTATGTGCAAAGTAATTTAAACAGGTGAATGTATGTGCAAAGTAATATAAACAGGTGAATGTATGTGCAAAGAAATATAAACACCTGAACGTATGTGCAAAGTAATATAAACAGGTGAATGTATGTGCAAAGTAATATAAACACCTGAATGTATGTGCAAAGTAATATAAACAGGTGAATGTATGTGCAAAGTAATATAAACACTGAATTTATGTGCAAAGTAATATAAACAGCTGAATGTATGTGCAAAGTAATAAAAAAAGCTGAAAAAATTGTGCGCATACCTTTAATGGAGCTTGAACGCATACGAGTAAAAATATTTTTGAAATATGATTTTTGTTGTTCCGAAGTTAGTATCTTATTTATTGTTTGACAAGGGATCAAAAGAAGAAATCGTCTTTTCATTGTTAATTGTCTGTCGTTAAGAAAGACTTTGTTATTGGACTGTGATTTAGAATGCATTTTATATTTTAGAAATACTGAAGGTGATCAAGACAAGGCCAAAGGACCAGGTAGGATCATATTAGATTTTTAGGATCATATTAATTTTTTAGGATTATATTAGATTTTTAGGATTATATTAGATTTTTAGGATTATATTAGATTTTTAGGATTATATTAGGTTTTTAGGATTATATTAGATTTTTAGGATTATATTAGATTTTTAGGACTATATTACATTTTTAGGATTATATTAGATTTTTAGGATCATATTAGATTTTTAGGATCATATTAATTTTTAGGATTATATTAGATTTTTAGGATTATATTAGATTTTTAGGATTATATTAGATTTTTAGGATTATATTTGATTTTAAGGATTATATTAGATTTTTAGTATTATATTTATCCTTATCTTCTAATATCTTTGTTTCCCTATTTTAATGTTTTTTCATCTTCTATTATCTTTTTATCTTTTTCTAATTTATTTTATGCCATTATGTTAAGAAAACTTGGCGGTGTGGTTCTTTTTCTGAATCGGGAAAAAAAATTTGGAACATGTATCAGAAAATATCAAAAACTAGAAATAAGTTGCAAGTGGATGTCCATTTTTTTATTTTCCTCCACAAATCCCCCATGGGAGGTGGGGGGCAAAAATAGACAGCCCTAATATTCTTTTTAAAGGTAATGAGAGACTGTACCCTGCTGGTGAGGTTGACCCTATACCGGACTGGGTTCAGGAGATGGTTATTAAACCTATAGAAGACGCAGGAATTGTAGAAAAGGTATCATCTTTATCAATAAACCAATATTCAACCCAATTAACCTATAGAATATGCAGAAAAGGTGCCATCTGGACAATCAATAAACCAATATTCAATTCAATGATCTAATCAATCAACCAATCAACTTGCATACAGATTACAAAAGATGAGGGCGATTAAGGTCTTTTGCAGCCTTTTTACGCATTTAGGTCCAAGTATTAACCATTTAATCTTAATCAGATCTTGTATCTTTTTTAAAGAGGGCCACATCCATGATCAGAACAATGATCAGAACTATGACCAGAACATGACCAGAACCATGACCAGAACCACTACCAGAACCATGACCAGAACCATGACTAGAATTTTTACCAGAATCATGACCAGAACCATGACCAGAATCATGACCAGAACCATGACCAGAACCACTACCAGAACCATGACCAGAACCATGACTAGAACTTTTACCAGAACCACGACCAGAACCATGACCAGAACAATGACCAGAACCATGACCAGAACCATGACCAGAACCATGACCAGAACTTTTACCAGAAACATTACCAGAAACCTGACCAGAACCATGACTAGAAACATGACTAGAACCATGACTAGAACCATGACTAGAACCATGACTAGAACCATGACCAGAACCATGACCAGAAACATGACCAGAACTTTTACCAGAACCATGACCAGAACCACGACCAGAACCATGACCAGAACCATGACCAGAACCATGACCAGAAACATGACCAGAACTTTTACCAGAACCATGACCAGAACCATGACCAGAACCATGACCAGAACCATGACCAGAACCATGACCAGAACCATGACCAGAACCATGACTAGAACCATGACCATAACCATGACCAGAACTTTGATCAGAACCATGACCAGAACCATGACCAGAACTTTGATCAGAACTATGATTAGAACTATGATTAGAACTATGGTCAAACTATGGTCAAAACTAAGATCAAAACTATGATCAAAACTATGATCAAAACTAGGGTTGTTCTCAAAAGTCAATAGGACCATGTGATTTACGTATAATCAGTCTCCAAAAACCCTAATCACCGTACATTAAGCACACTGTAGATAGATATAGATTTCGCTTTTGCATGCGAATATAACAATGCAAGTATATTAGTACTGTTTTAACTAAAAATCAGAAAATATGGATACAAATTTTTAATTAGGAACGTTGAGTGGAGTATTTAATTATATGTTCGTTTGTTATTTTAGAACTGGATTAACTCTGCTGTATTGAATGATTATAAACCCGGTGGATGTATAGTTTCTCACATTGATCCACCACAACTATTCCACAGGTGAGTTGGACAAGAGAGAGGGGGAGGGGAACACCCCTTTGCATTAAAGTGGATTTTAGGAAAGGGGTGTGTTTTAACTTGAAGTAGTATTTTATTTGAACTTTAACCCGGATTTTTGTGCACTACAAAGGAAAGTAGAATAGTATCCTAAAATTTTAACTTTTTTATGAGATAACTCCAATAAACAACGTTTGATCTTGATATTCAGTATTATATCATATCTGTTCGGTTCCATACTAGTAACCCTATCGTGTAAGAATTCCCATTATTACACGGTTCAGAAGGAACAATTTTAATATTGTTCGCTTCCTTACGTTTAAGAATGCTTATTCTTACACTGTAGGTGCAGAATTTTCATTCTTTAACGCTGAGACCGTGTAAGAATGGAAATTATTACACGGTCAGAGCGTGAAAGAATGTATATTCTTACACGCTCCGAGCATTAAAGAATGGAAATTCTTACACTAGTTAAAGAATATTCATTCTTACACGCACCTTATATTGATCTTTTAAGTATAGATCAATATTGATATTAACTTAATTATTTTGTACAGACTACATGCCCAGGGCACACTCGCCTTTTTCTTTTACATTAAAACATGCAAACTTACCTTTTTTAATTTAAAATAACATGCTCACTTACCTTTTTCTTTAATATTAAAACATGCAAACTTACCTTTTTTACTTTAGTAAATCATGCTCACTTACCTTTTTTGTTTTTTGAAGTTTTGATTTACCTTAATTCAGTAATATCCATTTAAATCTCAACCCTAGTCCTGTGTTTAATTGACATTTTCTGAAATTCTGACCTTTCCAAAATAAAAATGCAAAATGCTTTAAGTCTTACATTGGACATTTTCATCCAACTGCCGAGTCTCAAAGACTGCCTACTCTATTCATTTTTTTAGTTTATCTTCATTGCAAACCAGATTTGGCGAGATTTTTCAAATCTCTGCATACTTGTAATAGTACAGTCAGAGATTTTCAAAGATGGAAAGGTTGTCATGTCTTCACAATTTCAATCAATTGTTTTTTCACTTTATATTAAAAAGGGTTTCCAAAATTCCAAATTCATTTGTAATTATTAAAAAAATTAGACAGAATAAAGAGGTCGATTTGCCCCCCACCCTACAGCTACAACTAATTTTTAAGTACCTCAGTCTCTGTCAGTTGTCACCATATCTCGCATAGCTCAAGATGATAAAGTGAAACCACAATCAAAACCAAAAAAAGTTAATTTTATAAAACCTTATCATTGAAATACTAGTGTCACAAATTTTTAATGGGATCTTAGCACTGCATTTTAGTTTTTCTTCATTCCAAACCAAGTTTGGTGAGATTTTGCAAATCTCTGCATATTTGTAATAGTGCGGTCAGAGCATTTCAAAAATGGAAAGGTTTGTCATGCCTTCAAAATTTCAATTAATTGTTTTATACTTTATTATAAAGTTTTAAAGTACCTCAGCCTGAGTAAGCAGTCACAGTATCTCGCATAGCTCGAGATGATAAAGTGAAACCACAATCAAAACCAGAAAAAGTTAGTTTATAAAAATTTATCATTGAAATACTAGTGTCACAAACTTTTAGTGGGTCTAGCCATGAAAACAAACCAGTAAATCTTGATTCATGAATAAAAGACAAAGATCTTTATCAGTTCATGTCGAACTGATTCTTACTAGTTAATCTCATCTTTTTGGAAGATTTAGGATCTAATATCCAGGAAATGATTTCTTCTGTAAATGATTTCACAATTTTGTTTAGTAGATTAAGACAACCCACTACAATACTTTCTCCCCATCTAAAAAAAAACTCAGGGCACATTTAACATGCTGTATCTAAATGTTGTATCAACTTGAAAAAAACAAGCAAAATCATTAGAAATTGTTAAAACAAACTGAACTAAGGAAACAATCACACCACATGCATTACTTTCAAATTAATAACCAATTTTTACATATAAAATGGTTTTTAACATTTTAACATTAGAAAATTTAAAAAACAGTGTTAGTCAGAACAAGAGCATAAAACTTATTTGCAATCTTTCATAATGTGAACTGTTCCAACTTGAAATAGTTGGATTTCACCAGAATTATTTTTTAATATAATTTCTTGGGTATGTGCCCATGGAACCTCACAAATATGATATAATAATAATCTTATGAGGATAAAAATGTAATAATGGAATTCTTCAACTCGATGAAATAATCTTGATGCATTCTTTAACTCAGGCCTGCGGCCTTCGTTAAAGAATACATCAAGATTATTTCATCTCGTTTAAGAATTTCCATTATTACATTTTTTTCCTCATAAGATTATCATATTCACAACAGAAACTTTGATTTGAATTAAATTGAATTGAATTGAATTGAATTGAATTGAATTGAATTGAATTGAATTGAATTGAATTGAATTGAATTGAATTGATTTGATTTGATTTGATTTGATTTGATTTGATTTGATTTGTCTGCACTTGAGGTGCCAGTATGGAGAGGATGTGTTTTAACCATGACAGGGTTCGCGGCAGATGAAATCACACACTGTGTCAGGTAGAAATTAGTTGTAAAAATAATATTGTTATTTTCTGACACCTCAACCCAGATTTATTGGGTTGCATTGATTATTTATTTGTCTTTTATTTATAATTCGCAGATTTTATCTTAAGGTTCAATAAGACATAGATGCTGGTTTTCTTTCGAATTTCTTGATTATTCAATAATAGGTTTTAATTTTTCAATTATCTTTAAATTAGATTTCAAAATTTGGATCAATGAAGAATTTTTATTACTTCTGTACTGGATTTTTAACTGATATTTAGTATAAGTTGAGTTATAAGAATTAAAGTATTTGTCATTAGACCTGAGGATACTGAGGCCCGTCGTGCTGTTCTAATCCTCCGCCATGTTCCCGAGGACGCGCCTCGGATGACCATTGATGAATTGGCGGAGGTTCGGCGTACAGAAGAGTTGAAAAAGACACGACCAGGTCCTGGATCTGCCTGGAGAGGAAGATCTAAATCTCCTCCAAGATGGAAGCACGCCCCTCCACGATCCTTGAGACGGAGAATTTCTAGGTCTAGATCCACGGATAGAAATCAAGCAGGAGGGGTTGTCAGGAGAAGGAGATCTTCTTCTAGAGGAAGAAATATGGACCCAGACGTCAGGAAGAAATCCCGATCGCCTGATGCTTCCAGGTCTCAAAGGAAGGCCGATGAGGAGAAAAGAATCTCGAGGGATAAAGAAGGAAAAGGTGAGAAGAGAAGAAAGGATTCCAGCTCCAGTCCAGAGAGTAAGAAACACCGAAGATTAGTTCAAATCTCAGGTTCCCTGAAGAGAAAGTCTACAAACCCGGAGAAAACGGGATTAGAAGAGAAACTTAAACAGATGATTTCACAATCAGCTCCAAAGAGTCGATCCAGAGAAAAGCTGAGAGATAAGAAGGATAAACTAGAAGAGGGAGAACTGTCTTCAGGTTCAAGTTCAAGTTCCGACTCCTCTCCAGAGAGAACCTCCCAAACCCGCCGAGGGAAGAAAAAATCATCCTCCATGAAAAAGGTTCTGGACTCCGACTCCGAATTGGATCTAGAGAAGGAGATTGAACATTTGGAGCGGAGAAGTAAAGACTCATTACGCAGTGAAGTGGGAGATCTAAGAAAAGAACTGAATGATCTGAAAGATCTGGTTCGAAATATGTCCAAGGATAAGGAGTATGGTTCGAAAACTATAAATGCATTGGACATTATCGCGCGAGAGGTGAGGACGAAAATAATGAAGAATGAAGAGACAACCACAGAAACAATTTTGAAACTCAAGGTTGAGAGAAAGAAGAAAATGATCAGAGCAAAGTTGGAGAAACTGAAGGAAGATGGAGGCATTCGGGGAAAGGAGACTAAATCTGGGAAGAATGAACGAAGAGAACAAAATGAGTCAATGACAGAGAAGAATGATCAGTCTAGGTCAGAGAAAAGGAACAAATCCAGGTCGGAGAAAAAGGAAAAATCAAGAATGGAGAGTAAGGATGAATCACGGACGCCGAAGAAGAATGATTCAAGGTCGGAGAAAAGGGATGAATCAAGGACAGAGAAAAGGGATGAATCTAGGTCAGAGAAAAGGGATGAATCAAAGTCAGAGAAGAAGGATGAATCAAAATCAGAGAAAAGGGATGAATCAAAGTCAGAAAAGAAGGATAAGAATGAAAATCCATCCGATTTTAAGAAACAGAAGAGAACAAAGGAGTATAGAAAGGTAGAAGAGGAAAGCGGATCCGAAGATGAGGTAGAGAGTAAACTCCTTGCAGCAATAAAAAAGAGGTAAGGGTCGGGATATAATTTCTTAAATTTAAAACTGATTTAAAAATGTTTTTTAGTTTTTCATTCTTACATTTTTTTCAGGATTGATTCCAAGAAAGGAGACAAACGTCGCGGAGAAAAGAATTCTCCGTCACCGAAACCTAGATCAAAAAGAGAACGGAGCAAAGACGAGATCATGAACAAAATCAGAAACAGGAGTTTAAGCAAAACCAGGAAACGGAGCAGGAGCCGGAGCCGGAACAGAAACCGGAGCAGGAGCAAGAGCATGAAAAGAAACAGGAATAGAAGTAGAAGTACCAATAAAAACAAAAGCAGAAGCGCAGCAAGCAAGGAGAATGAGAGACGGAAGGACAGAAGTCCGACTGGGAAGAAGGAGCGAAGCAGGTCGAAGGAGGAGAAAAGGAATGGCAAAGAAACTGAAAAGAAGAGAAGTTCTTTAGCTGATCTAATCCGCAGGAAAGTCGAGAAATAAATCCACAAAATACACAAAAATTGAATTTTTAGAATAGTCGAGAAAGAAAACCCTTTTGGTTTAGCCACAATAATGCCGTTTAGTCTTGTTTAACAAGAGCTTATGTGCGTGTTTTATGTAATTTTTGACACTGTCCCAAACGCACTGAAAATTAAAGATTAGCATTTTTATCGAAATATTTTGTTTTAGTTTTGTTTAAAATATTTGATTTTTTTAAACCTTTGCATATATTTGTCATGCACTGTATACTTAAATACACATGATTATTGAATAAACCATTTTTCTTAATTTCAGATTCAGGAATTAAAATGTATTGATTCGCTGGCAGTGTTTGATGGCGAGTAATTCACCATATTGTAAATCATTTATAGAGTTACATGGACATAACGGTCTAGCACTTGTACATCGTTTTCGATTCGTTTTGAAACTATTCGAGAAACTGAAACTTAAATGGACCAATTTTCTTTCAAGTTCAAGTTTTTTGCTAAATAGAAAAAGTGGTATTGGTAGTCCACAATCTAAGACGCACATTGTGTCGTAAAGTCTTATTTTCTTTTTACAAGTTCTGAATATTTTTATCTTAATTTACAAGTTGGACAAGGAATTCATAAATGACAATTGACCTGTTTAAAAATGCTCACTAACAGTGAGAACCAGAACACTTAAGTAGAATAGGAAGACGACATTAAAGCAAAATTTAACCGTATTTGATGTTTATACAAGGCCTGTAGTAAGAAATGAAATCACTTATTATTTATGCCAAATGTGTCCTATCCAGATATTTCTGGTTCTCACTGTACCCCAATTTGTTGGATTAAGGAAAACAAAAAACCTATTAACCGCCCAATGACCCCCAGGCCAGGGTGAGAATAATTGAAAAGGAAGACGATATTATAGTATAACTTTATTGTATTTCATGTTGTTACAAAGCAAATAATTTACTAGACACTTATGAAATCACTAATTTATTGAAATGGGTCTGTTTACATTGCATAAAAACTGTTTCTCATGCCATTGCGCTTTTTAAAGTGATAACTTGATATTAAATGTCGTATTACTATTCCAGAGTTTTCTGGTTATCACTGTAGCTCTTCTAGTTTTGATTTTACGCACACATTTTTAAATCTTACTTTAGTTTGACGTGCAACGTGAACTTATAGAGCGCACGATTTTTACTAATTAAAAACATCTTCAGATTCCTATGCACACTTTAAAAGTCAAAACCCATTAATATTTAAAGACAAACCCAAAAACTAAAAAAAGAAACAATTCTTTATATTTTTCAGGTCTTTTGTCTGAATAGACGACATGGAATTACAGATCCAATCCCTCCTTCAGGAGGCTGAATATATAGGAGATGATGGAGTTGGAGGAGGTGAAGGTGTGGGAGTTGCAGAAGATGTAAAATATTTAAGAAAACAATATTTTCTTTTGAATGAAGATTTCCAACGTCCATTGAGGTATAGATGTAGATTTCTCAATGCATTGAACATGATAATACATTAATGCACTGGTCAGTAGTCAAAATAAAGGTTTTATTTCATTTTTTAACATTGATAAGTCCGTTTCTTTTAATCTAAAAAAAATTCAATTGGTTTATTTTTTCTTTGTTCATAAGTTTTTGCTGGTAATGCTAATAATGATTATGGTTTTAAGTTTATAAGTATTAGGTATTTATTGAATAGTTTTCAAGTTATAGAATTTCCATCAAACTCTCTAGAAGGCATTTAATCTAGCTTCAAGAAAATTCCAATACAAATTTTTATAATCAAATATAATTTTATTAAAAAAGGGATTGTCAACTTAATTTGTAGCGGGGGAGGGGTAGAACCCCCCCCCCCCTACCAGATCATATCCGGGGTTAATTTTATCCCATCTCTACATTAGGAAAGGGTTGCAAGGGTTACTAAGAACAGGTTCAGATGAGAACTTGATCTGTATCGGACGGGGTACTGTTGTATCCAGATTCTACGATACAGCTGTGGGATACAAGGTTCAGATCAAAGGTACCCAAACACGATACATTTCATTATTTATAGGATAAGCCGGATAATTTTACAATTTATCTATCTAATTGTCCAAACTATAATTAATTTTAAACCCAAATTATCATGGGGAAAACTTTAGCTCTTCTGAATAGAATACACGGGGATACTCACAAAGGATGAGACTTAAAGACGACTGTTCCAAGTTTTTCTTACATTCACATTACTGTAATCTTTTTCTTTTCCCTTAAATCATTTATTGAATAATATAAAGACTTCTTAAAGCAGAACTAAATCTTCAGATCGTTTCAGTTAAAGTTTATGCCTTGATATCGTCAATAAAGTTTATTCTTTGTGTGCAACCCTGCAAGTATTGAATGTCGTCTCCCAAGTTCTTCCTGTACTTTTTGACATTGGATACAAACCTGTGAAATCTAGATCACAGTTCCAGCCTAGAAGAGCTTCTCCCTGGTTCTCTTCTGGTTCTCCTCTCTCGGAGTTCTGGTTTCAGGTTGGAACCTGAGTCTTTGGTTCTCTGTTCTGGGGAACAAGGTTCAGAACCAGCTCTGCTCCGGGTACAGGTTCTAGACGGTCAATTACTCAAGGTAGGTGATTAGTAGAGGTCGATCAAGATTTATTTTTCAATCATAGTTATTTTTTGAAACCTTATTTACATACATATATTGCCTATCTTAAATTCAAAAGTACAGTACACGGCTCAATCAGAAAATTACAGTTTTTAGTATTTATGTACCACTAGCTGAAGGGCCCGGCGTTGCCCGTGAAAAAAAAATTAAAAATTAAAAAAAAAAATATTTGTTAAAAATTATTTTGAAAAAAAATCGAATTTTTTTAGCCTATAACACCTCCCGGTCTTCCATGAGTGTCCACAAAAATTTCAACCCAATCGGTCCAACGGTTTGGCCGGCTATAGACAACATATATAAATACGAATGTCTTCTTTATTTTATAGATGGAATAGGATTCAGAGTACAGAGTATAGAGTACGCTTTGTCGTAAATAAAGATTTTAGCTTTACTTCCCACTTAACTTAGAATCTTAAAACCAAGCTAAAAACATTTCCGTGGTTCTTCCGAGTTTCCCAATCAAAATTTGAGGCAAATCAGTCTAGGGGTTCCTGAGTTATGATCGGACAATAAAACAAACAGACAGACAGACAAACAGAGATTACAACTTTGTTACAATTATTAATATACCTAGGAGAACACCGTTAACTATAAAGCGTACATTTATAGGTAAATATGTACCTAGGGTGTAAAGCACAGTGTGTTCAAGCACACTGTACTATAAAGCGTACATCTACTAGTATTTATGTACCTAGGATGTGGAGTACAGTGTGTTAAAGCACACTGTGTACTATGAAGCGTACATCTATTAGTATCTATGTACCTAGGATGTGGAGTACAGTGTGTATAAGTACACAGTGTACTTAGAAGCGTACAAGCATCATCTAAATATTCTAAAGAACATGAAGAACTGTCCTGGTCCTCTACCCAGATACATAATCAACTCAGGTTTTTTTTCTCTGGTTGTTAGTAAACAACATAATGTGGTGTAGTAACCAGAAAATAGTAAATTGATTGACTTCTTCGTTTTTGTTGAAATGGTGAAATATCGCTACAAAATATACTTAATTCGTAGTTGATTTACAATATTTCATTGCTAAAACATCTATTAAAAGAAAGAACAAAGACGACATTAATTTAAAAGTTTTATCAATGTACTCGCAACTGGAAATGATTGTTAAATATGTTTTGTTTATTTTTGGACGGTTAATTTTAAACAACAACTTTAATTTGGAGTGTATGTATACTTATTTATTAGAAAGAAAAAAATATTTGCGAACACAAATTAAAATCTAAGATTTATGGTTAGCTTATAGTGACCACTCACGCCATAAATTGTTAAATCTTCGTTAACATTTTGATAATCCAATGTAACAAAGATTTTTTTTTAATACAGTGATAACCAGAAAACAATGGAATAGGAAGACGACATTATATCAGTACTTAATCGTATGTGTTACCACACACTTTTTAAATCACTAATTAAGTAAAATAGATCTGTTCACACTGAACAATTGATATGTCTCATGCTTATGGGACTTCTTAAAGTTAAAACTTGATTCTAAAAGTCGTTTTCTTATTTCAGAGTTTTCTGAATCTATCTGTATTTTAAATGAAAAATGTTTTGTTATATTTAGGTAAAGACCCTAAAATCCTAGAGCCTGAGTATTTAAGCAAAACTGAAACCTTGTCTCTGAATTGTCTAAAATATTTACACAATTCCTTCCAGGGAAGTTTAATCCAATGAAATAGATATCTATATTTCCATAGGATGAACATTTTTATCCGTGGAGCAATGTTTGTCTTATTGTAAGAATTGAGCTAAGAACTAATTTAAATTGAGTCTAATGACCTAAAGATTTTTCCCCCATGCGATCCGATTACAATAGACGCATTTAAATATTTACAAATTTATGATTTTGAACTCAGTTCGCATTTCAGTTATGACTTAAAATGTATAACTCTACTTCATATAAAAGCAGATAGAAAGAAGAGAAGGATTCAAGATTAAAAACTAGTTTTAATTATGAGGACTGGTCTTCTTATATTCTTATCCTAAGAAAAGCATACATAAATTTCATGGATTGAAATCCTTTATAAGAAATCTGAATCCGCCCTGACAGTTGACGAAGTTCATAAACTTCTTCTCTCAAAACACAGTTCTTCCTCAGCCTCGTCCCCAGGGTATATATTTTGTATCTTTATCATAATCAAACAGGTTTATTTTTATTTTTGACAACTAGAGTAACTGATTTCTTGCCACAACATTTAGTTTTCTAATCCCTTTATATATTAGAAATTACAACTAATTGTAGATCAATTTATAGCATTTAAAGCTTGAAATATTAAAGGTATACGACATCAGGTTACAGAGAAAATTAGAGTTTGTGTCAAGTGTTCAGTTTCTTTGTATTTCGTAAAAATAGGGTTATGTGTTTAAAGATTATTCAAATATGGATTTCGATAAGAAAAAAACAAATATGGGAAATGTTTTACAAACCTTGAACATTTGTTATCTTTATTGATTATACCTGAAAACATCAGCTGATTTAACCAAGGGTGCGCCATTTTTAAAAATGCCAAAATGTTTTTAATTTTCTTCTTGTAAACTTGAAACTATTCTTAGATCTTCAAGTCTCCAGATCTTCAAAGCTAGTGGAGAATACAAATATCTCCGAAACAACCCTAATCTGAAAACTTCCTGTTCTGAAACCCCAGTTATTAATAACTTTCCAAAACGTGAACCTATAGAATGTCAAAAATCATTATCAAACCAATCTCAAATCTCCGACCTGGAAGAATCTCAAATCTCCGACCTGGAAGAATCTCAAATCTCTGGTCTTGAAAAATCTCAAGCTGAAGCTCTAAAAAATGCTCTAACCCAAGAAGTCAGCCTTATCCAGGTACAAAGCTGGATAATTCGTGTAGATTTTCGGAGGTAGTGGAGGGCCCGGAGGGTGGCGGGGCTAGTTGGTTAATATTGAAAAAATTAATGGTTTGCACAAAACTAAAAATTCACAACTAAAAACATGCAGTGGGACCCGCAAAAATGTGGAAATGAAAGATTCCATTTAAGCATTCTTATGTTTATTTGATGTTGTTTTAAATCAAATTGTTTTGCCATTAGCGTGAATTAATTCTAAAGGGTCTGTGTACATTGCACAATTACTGTGTTTTATGTTGATGAGGCTTTGTGGATATAACAACTTGAGTTTAATAGTTATCCTTCTTCTCTTCCATAGTTTTATGGGTCTCACTGTATTTCTCCCAAATATAGAGGGCGCTTCGCGCCCATCTTCTAAATTAATTGTGAACATGTTCTCTTTGTGTACATCGTAAAACAAAACAAAAATAATTCGCGGATTTTCACAAAAAAATTTCGTGGATTTTCAAAATTTTCAAAAATTTAATGAAGATCGAATTTTGATGGAGACAAATATTTGAAATTTTGATCATTCATAAACCTTCCCTGGGGTCCCTAGATGTCCCACAAAAAATTTGGGCCCGATCGGTTCAGCCGTTTTGACGTTTATTGGATACAAACAGACAGACAGACACACAAACAGACAAGCCAAATTTATATATAGATATAATATATATGTACATTGTACATGATCACCATTTTGATTTTATATAACTGCTCAGGGTCCTCCTGGAACAGGGAAATCGTTTCTTGGTTCCCTTCTGGTCCAGGTACTACTGGAGAATAGAAGTTTATGGACCAGGACAAGTTCTACTCCGGTCCTTGTTATCTGCTATACCAATGCTGCTCTAGGGACAATGATAACACTTGAAAAAAGAATACGTTGATTAATTCATTGAATCTTTTGCTATGTGTTAAGTGTAAACTTTAGCTGGCGTTTATTCTGCATTGCCACTACATTAATCTCAAAATATTTGCATGGCTTGAATCATTGAGCAACGCCTAGTCCTAGGTTAACATGAACTTTAATTAAACTCATTCCATACTTCAGCTTTGCACCTACATTTTAAATTGTTGATCTAAATAATAAAACCTTGAAAATGTGATTATCTGGTTAAGATGAGTTTCTTGAGTCTGGTTTACGGTATACCCGGAGAATTGTTCGTCTTGGCTCCAGGTCTAAATCAGATCTGTTGGAGAACTATACTCTCAACTCTATACTAGGATATCGAAGAGATGCCGCGCTCAGGAATGCAAACTTTTCTTAATTATTCCTGAAAAATTAAAAAAATATTTGGTCCAAACAGGAAAAATGTGTTTGTATCTTATTAATGAGATAAAACTATACTAATGGACATCGTTTACATGTTTTTAAACATTCCAAGTTTGTTAGGTTAAAAAGTGATCTAAAAGAATCTTAAAATGTGTATTCTGAGATGTTATCCTATTTAAGAGTTTAATGTTTCATTACATTATGTAAATTTTTTCTCTCTAAACAAAGAAAATGACCAAAACGAACTTTTGGAATGAGTTTTTTGGAAAATCGTTTTGGTTTATATTTTTGGTGAGAATTAAAATTTTCAAATTGTAAAAACAGCAAACTTATCGAGCATACAATTTTGGAATAAAACATTTTATATCTTTGTGGTCTCATAAAGGTCAAAAACCCTGAATGCTGAGAAGCGGGCCTGAATCCGACGCACATCCCTGGTCAATTAACAATTTATGTTTAGATCTTTAAAAAGTTCAATTTAGCGTATGTTGATTTTCATAAATTCGTTACTCATTAGGAAGAACTTGCATGAACCAGAAATCAAGGAGCCATCAGGAATGCAAACTTTTCTTTATTATTCCTGACAAATTAAAAAAATATTTGGTCCAAACAGGAAAAATGTGTTTGTATCTTATTAATGAGATAACACTATATTAATAGACACCGTTTACATGTTTTTAAACATTCTAACATGTTTAAACATTCTAACATGTTTTTAAACATTCTAACATGTTTTTAAACATTCTAACATGTTTTTAAACATTCTAACATGTTATTATACATTCTAACATGTTTTTAAACATTCTAGCATGTTTTTAAACATTCCAAGTTTGTCAGGTTAAAAAAGTGATCTAAAAGAATTTTAAAATGTGTAATCTGAGATGTTTTCCTATTTAAGAGTTTGATGTTCAATAAGTTTTCTTTCATTACATACATTATGTAAAACGAACTTTTGGAATGAGTTGACCAATAGTTTTGAAAAATCGTGTTGGATTATATTTTTGGTGAGAATAAAAATTTTTAAATTGTAAAAACCGCAAACTTATCAAGCATATAATTTTTGAATAAAACATTTTATATCTTTGTGGTCTCATAAAGGTCAAAAACCTTGAATGTTGAGAAACGGGCCTGAAACTGACGCACATCCATGAGTCCGAATTTAATGAATTTTAGCCGCGTCTGAAGTTCGACAAAAACTGCTTTCAATTGAGCGCCGGCTTAAATCTTGAAACATTGAATACAATTTAAGTGGAACCAACCATAATTGAGCCGCGGCTCAAATTCTTAAAATTTGGCCTCTGGTCACTTAACAATTGATATTTAGATCTTTAAAAAGTTCAATTTAGCGTATGCTGATTTTCATAAATTCGTTACTCATTAGGAAGAACTTGCATGAACCAGAAATCAAGGAGCCTACTGGAAGGAGAAAGAGCTAAGATCAGCTCTACATGATCTAAACTTAAGACTAGCAGAGCAGGGTTCAGCTTCATCTGAAGATATTTCTCTGCATCATGGTTTAATTCAACAACTCCGAAGTTTAACGGGTATGGTTAGTTATTAAGTAAATATTTTGAGGGGAGAACTTGTGTGTTATGAATCTCGAGATCAAGCGCATGTATTGATCTCCATCTAATGCAGATCTATCAATTAATTAAATTCTTCGATATCGCCTGGTTATAGTATAACCAGTGGCCGAATTTAAAGAATTTGAGCGGCGGTTTAAATTTAAGCCGCGGGTTAAATATGGTTGGTTCCACTTAAAATTGTATCAAATGTTTCAAGATTTAAGCCGGCGCTAAATTTAAACCGGGTTTTGGCGGATTTTGGCGGATTTAAACCGCGGCTCAATTTCTTTAAATACCATCTCTGGATAAATAGAACTAGGGAATCAAGTAATTATCCCTTTGTCAGTTTATGGCAAGGATTTGAAAACATCTATTTACTGTGCAGGTCCATACTAGACAGAGAATAGACATTTATTTACCTTGTACTTCTTCAAGCTTTTTAACCAAAACCGGTTTCCTTTTTTAGTTTTAATGTGATAATTCCGTGTAAATCTACGTTTAAAAAATAAAAGACTGTATATTGCAGCCGGGGAGGGTCGACTGGTTTGCCAAGGAGCAGATATTATTGGAACAACCTGTACTGGAGCTGCTAAACACCGTCAACTCCTCCACCAGCTTAACCCAAAGTAGAGATGGGCACATTCAGCAACTCGTTTGTTGTTCGTGTTTTTCTGTTGTTTAGTAAAATTTGAATACTTTCGACAGCTGAATCTTTTTTCATTTTCCTTCTTTTTGTTCGTTTTTAAATTGTACGTTCGTTCAGTGAATTCGTTCGTTTTGTAAAATTGTTTGTTCACAAACGATTCCGAAAATATGTTCACAAAAAAACATTTAGAAAAGACAATAGTTTTTTTATTTTTCTGAACTATCCCTTAGTTTGTTCATAGATCGTTAATTTTCCTGATGGACACAATTTCGTTCGACAACGAAAACTATGCCCATCTCTAACCCTAGAATAGTTCTGGTGGAGGAGGCCGGGGAGATGATGGAGAGTCAGCTGATTGCCTCCATCCCCCCTTCCTCTACGCATATCATCATGATAGGGGACCATCAACAGCTTAGACCACAGGTACAACTACAGACAATTCATTTCACACAAATTAGCGGCGAGCTTTGTGTTATTTAAGGGACTCGACTGTGTCAGTGTAATTTCAAGTAATTTTAAGATCAAGTGACGTTAATTGTGGTTTCTCTACTCAAGTGACTTGCGCAATTCTACTGCAGAGAAAACATACAGAATAAAGGTTTTAAGATGAGATGAGATGAGATGAGATGAGATGAGAGGAGATGAGATGAGATGAGATGAGATGAGATGAGATGAGATGAGATGAGATGAGATGAGATGAGATGAGAATTGGGCATTGCCTCAATGCAATGATGGATACTTGAAATTACGCTTGCAGTCCCTTTTTGAAAGTACACATGTTAAATTAGGAAGTAAACTAAGCCATTCTAATCGGTTAAAAATGTAATTTAAAACAAAAATGCAATTTTTTTAAATTTGAATAATTTTTTTGTAGGTTGGATCTCCTGAACTTGCCAAGTCTGAATCTCATGACATATCTCTGTTTGAGAGATTGATTATCTGTGGGTTCCCCTTCTCCTGTCTTTTAACCCAGCACAGGATGGTTCCTCTCCTCTCTTCTCTCCTGTCTCCGATATATCCAGGTCTCCGAAACCATCCGGAGGTAGAACGGAGAGGACGGATTCCAGGGTTAGTTTCTCCGCTCTTCTTCATCAATCATTTACATGCTGAACACCAATCTCAGGTATTAGCTCGTATTAAAAAGGGATTGTTCAGACATTTGGGAAAGTTGGAAGGAGCCAATTAATTTATAGTAGTTATGTATTTATATTCAAACACAAAAGACAAAATAATAATGTTCAGATAAAAACAAAACACAAAAGAAAATTTAATATTGGCCAATTGAAATTTTAATGTTTAATAATTTTGTTCTGATCGATATTTGAACCGATAATACGTTTCCTATTACAACTCCTTGGTTTCGCAATACTAGAAAAAAGGCAATTTTTCTTAACAGACTTATTAGCATTGGAAATTATTTTAAGTTTATTTCTCTAAGACACCAAATAAGACAAAATTATGTTATGAAACAGATAATTTGCATCATTGTTCCAGGATCACTCCTATGTTTACTGACAGTTTAGGCCCAAATTTGGTGTGGGATCTGGCTTGGCCCCTATACTTGTATGGTTTTTCAAAATGTTATATTCTAGGGTGGCAGTAGAACAAACAAATTCGAGGCAGAGTTTTGTGTAGCACTTGTTCAATATCTAGTTCTTCAAGGCATACAGCCTTCTAGGATATCCGTCCTTACAAGGGATGTGTCTGTTCATCCTTTTGAAATCGGCTCAAGAGGATATATCTCACCATCAAATAAGGCGATTCTAAAGAAACTGCGTAAGTTCTGCAAACCCAGTGTTAGTTTCAAAGCAATGTGTGAAAATTTATCAAGCCTTGCTGTACTGTCATCATACCACATTTTTAGAAAACGAAAAACACTAGACTGGGACCAAGAAACCCCTTTTCTGAAAACCACCTCTGAATAGCTGAACTATACTCATGCTAAAAGTCTTGTATTGCACCTTTTTTGGCAAACCCTGTCAATTTTAAAATGCGATATTCAGAGAAAAGAGTATTAGTTTGTAAACTTTTATATTGTTTAATGTAATTTTGCTTTAGACAAATATAAATGATAAATAATATATTTATATATATATGAGCGAAGAGCCTTATTATAGAGATTAATAAAAATTACATAGCTTAGTATACATAGAACTGGATTTCAGAATACGTACATTACAATGTAAACTTTACAGAGGCCATTTTTTTCTTAACAATACAGGATCACCGGCCACTAAATATATTTACAAGATTGAAATTTAAACTACTGCGGTCATGTGATTTTAAACCTGATTACCGACCAAAAATTCTTTTAATATTTGGGTAACTCTGTAATATATATTTTACAACTCGAAATGCTTGATCAAAAACTGTTTAAAATTCCTGAATCACACATCTAGTAATAGATGTGTATGTTGTATTTTCAGTGTACAATATACCTTTATGACATTGTATAATTTAACAAAAGGATTGAATTCTCCGTGTCAGCGTATCATCATTATTTAATCAAACCTGTTTAAACCCTTTCAGCAACACATTACTTATTAATCTATAACTTTTTATTCATTTCTATATATTACTGTTGTAATTTCTGTTTTTTGTTTGTTTGTTTGTCCGATCATAACTCAGGAACCCCTAAACCGATTTTCCTCAAATTTTGATTAGGGAACTCGAAAGACCCACGTGAATGTTCTTAGCTTGGTTTTGAGATTTCAAGTTGAGTGGGTCGACTTTAAACGGGAAAAATAGCTAAAATTATGATTTAGGACAACTAATGGGACTAACTATGATCTGCCTAGGTCACGCTGGGTTCCCAATCTGGATATTATAAAGTATCATAGTTATTACAATATTTCAACTTTTGTTGATCTTTATGATTTTTAAGAATACATTGTATAATGTTCATTCTCGTACTTATAAGAATTGTTATAAATACATCTTTTTTCATTTTTGGTAATATTTGCTTGAAAATTCTGTAGTTCTTGTTCCCAAAATCTAAGATTTATCCTTTTCAACCCTTTTTAACAAATTAAAACAAAAATATTATATTTTGATAGTTTATATATAGAAGAACAAATGTGTTTTGGAGAATTTAAACTGATATCATCATGAGAAATACAAAGTTAAGATCTGAAAATATTAAAGTTCATGTCACTTTTTGTCTCAAGATAATTTGATAATTAGGAAGTAATAATGGGATTCCAAATTGTTACAAAGGAGTCATGAAGTTGCCAAACTAAAATTATCCTTATGTGTAGATTGTAGAATAACATTGCCAAGACCCCCCAACCCATGGCTCCGCCCCCGACTCCGCCCCTTCTCTAGATCAGACAAGAGTGGGCGGAAGATTGCTTTCTGTATCTAATTTTTATCTTTCAGAATTCAGTCTCATCCTTAATGCAAGATCATTCAAGGAACTCATGCTCCTAGACATAGATTTTACAGATAGGACAGCAGATATTGTTCTAGTTATAGATTATACAGATAGGACAACATATAGTTCTAGACATAGGTTATACATATATGACAACAGATATAGTTTTAGACATAGATTATAAAGATAGGACAACAGATATAGTTCTAGACATAGATTATACAGATAGGACAGCAGAAGTTCTAGCCATAGATTAACCAGATATGGCTCTAGTCATAGATTTTACAGATTGGACAACAGATATAGTTCTTGGCATATCACAGTACATTTTGAAGGCTAATAAAACCATTTTTAATTGCTTTAAGGAGTTTAACTCATTTTTTTATTTATCTTATCTTTCGGAGATTTGACCTGATTTGAAGGGGGGGGGAATTGTTCCTGGTTTTCCTTTTAAAAATCATTTAATCATAATATCTTTCTAAATTAAGAAGGGAATACTATTTTTTAAGAAGGGATGCCAAGGCCAATGACTTATTAGGAAATTACATGCTCCTGAAAACGGGTTCATCTCAACTGAACCGATTTTTGCCAACTGAAAAGTTGCCAGCCAAGAATGATCTTATTATCATATTTGTACATTAAATCGATCGGTCATGGTTTATTTACTCACAATACTAGTGAATCAAACATTTAGTCGTATTTAACGATAATGTTAATAATAATGTTTTGTTGTTGTTGTATAGCCGTCTTTGTAAACAATTTTTCCCGGAAAATGTTTACTAATCAGTAAATAATGGAAAACATGAAATGCATTTCTGATAATCTAACCAAAAATTCAATGCACTTCTGTACATTTTTACTTATTATTCGTAATAAAAAGCTTTGTTATGATGTACAAAATTAAATTTAATTAACTGAAAATATACGCAGATTCAACAGTCTTTATCCCTGGCAAGTTGTAACTTTCGATCACAAATATAACTTTTCTCTTTCTTTATTTATTCTGTTTTTGTAAAAAAGTAAAAAAAGAAAACTTTGGAAGTTGTAGATAGTTAAAAAAAGACCAAAAACTGTAGATTATTAAAAGTTAGACCAAAAACTGTAGATAGTTAAAATATAGACCAAAAACTGTAGATAGTTAAAATAAAGACCAAAAACTGTAGATTGTTAAAAGTTAGACCAAAAACTGTAGATAGTTAAAATATAGCCCAAAAACTGTAGATAGTTAAAATATAGACCAAAAACTGTAGATAGTTAAAATATAGACCAAAACCTGTAGATTGTTAAAATATAAACCAAAACTAAACCAAAAACTGTAGATGGTTAAAATATAGACGAAAACTATAGATTGTTAAAATATAAATCAAAAACTATAGACGGTTAAAATATAGACAAAAACTATAGGTTGTTAAAATATAAACCAAAAACTGTAGATTGTTAAAATATAAACCAAAACTAAACCAAAAACTGTAGATGGTTAAAATATAGACGAAAACTAAAGATTGTTAAAATATAAACCAAAATTAAAATATAAACCAAAACTAAACCAAAAACTGTAGATGGTTAAAATATAGACGAAAACTAAAGATTGTTAAAATATAAACCAAAAACTATAGATAGTTAAAATATAGCCCAAAAACTGTAGATTGTTAAAATATATCCCAAAAACTGTAGATAGTTAAAATATAAACCAAAAACTGTAGATTGTTAAAATATAGCCCAAAAACTATAGATAGTTAAAATATAGCCCAAAAACTGTAGATAGTTAAAATATAAACCAAAAACTGTAGATAGTTAAAATGTAAACCAAAAACTGTAGATAGTTAAAATATGAACCAAAAACTGTAGATTGTTAAAGTATAGCCCAAAAACTGTAGATTGTTAAAATATAAACCAAAAACTGTAGATAGTTAAAATATAAACCAAAAACTGTAGATTGTTAAAATATAGCCCAAAAACTGTAGATTGTTAAAATATAAACCAAAAACTGTAGATAGTTAAAATATAGACCAAAAACTATAGATAGTTAAAATATAAACTAAAAACTATAGATAGTTGAAATATAAACCAAAAACTGTAAATTGTTAAAATATAGACCAACAACTGTAGATTGTTAAAATATAAACCAAAAACTGTAAATAGTTAAAATATAGACCAAAAACTTCAAATGGTTAAAATATAGACCAAAAGCGATTGAATTGAAATGTGTGTTGATATTTTGAATTTTGCCTCGTAACGTACTCTGAATACACTCCAGCAGATGTCATCTAGGGTCATAGTTTAGAAAATAGAACCTTAACCTTTTCATACTCAGGGGCAAGGGCGTATACAGGAATTTGTCGAGGTGGGGTTACCATTTCTCAACTTTTCAGGGGGGGGGGGGGGAGAAGAGAAGCCTCTGTTGGGGGACTTGATACCCCCTAGGGTCTTATTTTTCACTTATCCCGGGTAGGCTACTCAGATCCTGTAGCCTCCCCCCTAACCCTGTTTATGCCCCTGTACAGGAGTATTGAAACTATATCATGCTTAAACCCGTCCTAATCTTATATCTAACAATGCATTTACGTTTTACGTTGATTGTTGATACTAATCTTGACTCAAATACATTTTCATATCTAAACCATAACACTTGAATCTAGAAGTAAGGATAAGGTCAAATTTAAGCAAAATTACTGGTACTGATTTTTTACCTCGTAGCTCCTGTAGATTTGATTTCACATGCAAATTTGATTGTATCAGGTTGATTGTATCCCTGTATCTAGACTTATTCTATCCCTGTATCTAGGTTGATTGTATCCCTGTATCCTGTATCTAGACTTATTCTATCCTTGTATCTAGGTTGATTGTATCCCTGTATCCTGTATCTAGACTTGTTCTATCCCTGTATTTAGGTTGATTGTATCCCTGTATCCTGTATCTAGACTTATTTTATCCCTGTATCTAGGTTGATTGTATCCCTGTATCCTGTATCTAGACTTATTTTATCCCTGTATCTAGGTTGATTGTATCCCTGTATCCTGTATCTAGACTTATTCTATCCCTGTATCTAGGTTGATTGTATCCCTGTATCCTGTATCTAGACTTATTCTATCCCTGTATCTAGGTTGATTGTATCCCTGTATCCTGTATCTAGACTTATTCTATCCCTGTATCTAGGTTGATTGTATCCCTGTATCCTGTATCTAGACTTATTCTATCCCTGNTCAATTTTTTTTTTTTTAGGAAATAAAGAGTTTTCTGCATTATCGATTTTGATTTGAGGGTTATTCCGGTGTCTATCTGTTCATCGTCAGAATATTGTTCCTATCCGACAACAACCATTTATATATGTATTTATATCTTTGTGTGTGAATAAATCTTTATAATAAAAAAAAAATTACGCGAAGATTTTTGCTGGTTTATTTATCACGTCCAACTAAAATAAATTTTGCGTAATATTGAAATATGTTATGTTTTCAATTTTCTACTCCTCTTGTTTATCCTCTATGTAACTGGATAAATTAGCTTTTCCCATACTTGAGTGTAAAATTAAAATTAGAGACGCTATGAGACCACAACGTCGCGTTGTCCCAATGCCGCATAAAGAAACTGAGTTCTAGTCTCAAACTCAAATTTTCGAATCCCTATATCTTTGCAATCTAATGGTGTAAATCTTTAATATTTCAAACTTAGATCAATTAGTTTAGCAGCATTCATTGTTTGAAATCTCAAATGTCTACGGTATTGGGTTGCAAAGGTAAAAAGATTAGGAACATTTTAGTTTGAGGCAAACTTGTCATTTTAACATTTAACTAACTTTAGTCTGTTCTTTTTCTAGTTGTTGTCCTTGTCAGGACATGATATTGTACGGTACAACACGAACTGTACTTGTACTGCCTTTGCCAGGACGAATCGTCTCCACACGTACATAAAGACTTTAAAATCCTTATATCCAGAGCTGCAATAAAAGTGAATAGTAAGGTCTAAACAAAATTGTGTATTAAGATATTTTTGAAAATATACACAAATAGGCCATTTGTAAATCACACGTCAAGTCAGTCAAACTAAAGTAAAATATTTGCAAGATTTTACATGTTTTCAATCATAATTCCTCCTATTGAAGAATTAAAGAATTTATGTCACCGGTTACATGCACTTTCCTCATCCTTGGGCCTAAAATTGAAACTAAAGGAGCTACGATGTCACAAAGACCTTCTTTTGTATAGCTCAGTGTGATTATGATGTTTAAAATAGAAACTGAATAAATGTTCCAATTTTTTTGGTACACCATGTAGGCAGGCATTTACTGCAAATTTGATGTTTGTTGAGATTATCCAAAATTCTTGACGCTTTTAATTAAAATATTGATTGGTTTGAGGCGGATACAGGGAGAGTGGCATCCTTTTAATGCATTTATTGTACGTGCGTCAAACTGCGTCACGTTACGAGTGAGGAAGATGCGTAACATGAGACGAGAGGATAATTCATATTCAATTTTAGTTCAAAGTAATTTATACTTTTCCATCTTAAGATTTAAAATTCAAGAGTCGGTCCGACACTTTAGCATAAAGTTACTTAGGAATGGTTGATAAACAAATAATTCCTATCATCTACCATGGCCCCCTCATCAATTGTTCGGTTAACATTGTGTACTGTTTTTTGTTACAAATTAGAAGAATTCTTTTTGAGGGTTTTCAGACTAATTTTTTTTTAATTTTAAAAATTGTTTCTGTTATTCATCTTAATTTTGTCCTAAATAGGGGTGCTTTGCAGGCTGTAAGTCAAAGAAATTGGAATACTAAAACTATAAAGCAATCTTCTATTCTTTGTGATTTTGTCTATAGTTGTATTAAATATGAAAAAATAGGAAACATGAAATAATGCAATTCAATTCTATTCTATATATATTTCTTATTCAATGTTACTTAAATAATGGTTTACAAGGTACCGATGTGAATCGAAAATGCTACTTTTTTATTTGTCTGAGGGTCACTTAACAATGATAATATCAGTCCTCCCTTAAATTAAGAGAAGGAAAAGATGCTTTTTGTTTGTTTGATCAGTTTTTAAAATGATAAGAAAAGAAGGGGGGACGTTCTTTTCCGGGTATTGTAGCCGTTAAATTCATAGGTATCATGATATTGATTAATGGTGGAATCAGATTAAATTCTTGGAGTATTTATAAATATATTTTCTAAAGAGATAAATTCTAAAACTTTAAATTAATGTCATTGCTTTGCACTTATTTTACATCTCTAAGTGTTTTTTTTACAATTTTTCAACTCCAAGTTTAGAAGAGTTTATATAGATATTATACCTCTAGGTGTTTTTACAATATTCCTACTCCAAGGTAAGAAGAGTACGTAAATATTTTATATTTCTAGATGTTTATATATGTTTTATATCTCTTGTTTTCAAATATTCCTACTCCAAGCTTAGATGAGTTTACATGTATTTTATATCTCTGTTTTACAATATTCCTACTCCAAGGTAAGAAGAGTACGTAAATATTTTATATTTCTAGATGTTTATATATGTTGTATATCTCTGTTTTACAATATTCCTACTCCAAGGTAAGAAGAGTACGTAAATATTTTATATTTCTAGATGTTTATATATGTTGTATATCTCTGTTTTACAATATTCCTACTCCAAGGTGAGAAGAGTTTATATGTATTTTATATCTTTAGTTTTACAATATTCCTACTCCAAGTTTAGATGAGTTTATATATATTTTATATCTCTAGTTTTACAATATTACTACTCGCAAGTTTAGAAAAGTTTACATATATTTTATATCTCTAGTTTTACAATTTTCCTACTCCAAGGTTATAAGAGTTTACATTTATTTTATATCTCTAGTTTCACACTATTCCTACTCCAAGTTTAGAAGAGTTTACATGTATTTTATATCTCGATGACTCAAAGTTTTATATTAAGGTTGCCTATGCTACAGACTAGGGTTAGAAACATGATTTTAAAAATTGAAGATATAAAGTTAGTTATATTGTATTAAGGTTTAGAAAAAGGGGCAACACAGGGTGGAATCTAGAAACTGTCAATATTTTGATAATATTTAAGAAATTCACTAAATCTGGTTTACCCTCTACAGCTGTGATATCTTGAACGTTTTCAAATTTATCCAATGCGTAAAAAGAAGGGTATAATTATGCTTGAAACATTATATATATAGCCAAGAACATAATGAGATAATGAACAATGTACTTAGGCAGTTAGACAGCTAGGCCTTGTCAAAAGTAAGTGCATACTTTTCAAAGCCTTTTCTTAAAAGAACATTCGGGGTGTATCAAAATACTAGAACAGTACTCTTCTTTGTGAAAATACAGGGTAAACGTTAAAATTGAGAATGAATAAACATTGGCAGTCATGAACCACATTGTGTTCGGTTTTTAAGTTAACGTGAAAAAATCCGCTAATAATCTTGGAAGATATTTTATTATCAAATACAACAAACGTGTTATAGTTGGTAACTGCCAGTTTAAAATGTATTCTAAGACACCCAGTTTGTATATGTTAATTGAAAGTATTAAACATGAAGGCATATATTGCCTATTTCTGAGAAAACTAGTTCCGCCCTTGGTAAGTTGGTACTAATATACTTGTGTATTTACATATTAGTATGGAGTGAAGATAATAGTGTTTAGCCCTCAGAGTAGTTTTATAGTAGAGGGTTCAACTCCAAATTTGGTTTGTTATCATCAGAGGCTCAGCTCCCACCCCCTGGATCAGTAAAATCTAGAGTTTCCAGGAGGTTTTCATGTTTTTTTGATTTATGTCGTCTCCGTATTCCAACGTGTTATGGGTATTGCTGTTGATCTTCTGGAGTAAAAGCAATAATATTTCTGTTACCCGAATTAGTTGGTCAGTGAATGTGCAATATTAAACACTGTTAGTCGCTGGAAGCTCTATATATCTCTATACTCCCTGGTTCAGCATATTCAAATATGCATATTTGTCATCATACTTGGTTCAGGATAATTTACCGGAAAATTGCAAGATATTAGATTCATGAATATAGTAAACCAAAATATTATGATTCATGATATTCTATTTCAGGGGCGTATTTGGGG